ATGGTTCCTCTCAGGGCATACAATAACATGTTAACTGGGCGACACAAGTGTCACCCAGTCCTGAGATTTTGTCGCCCAGTGACTATGGGTGGTGCCGGCATATTTTTTTAATGGTCCACATTTTAAATTTATCGGAATTTAAAAAGTAACATTAGGTAAATATTTTAGAGTAGGGTATTTAGAGTAGGAAACTTATCAGCATTTAATTATTGCAATGGTTCTACGCTTCATCGACTGTTTTTACTTATCCTACATTCATTTGAAATTAATCACTAAACGGAGTTAATAACGGCAATGTTAAAAACTAAGAGTAGTTTTGTCTGGTAGATGACGTGGATTTTATCATTTGCACTTTGGAATTTTATATATCATTTAACCAGTTGCATTATGAGAATTTTAAATTAAAACAATTGAAACGATTGGTTAATAATACAGTAGTAAGTTTTGGGAAATTGTATGTTATATCATTCACTATTGGATACAGAAGAACTATTGTATTAATAGTCAAAGGTCATATGCGTGTTATAATAACGAGACAAAGTCCGTACATAATGGAAATTGTATAAATGAACGTAAAACTTCACAAAACGTGTGGCGTGACGAAGTGGCGCGGAGGGGGGACGGCAGGTAGTGATATCACTGAATCTAAATATCAAGTAGCATTATCCATCCGTACATCGTTATTTATATACATATATAAAAATTTTAACGAATGGTGTTTTTGGCCTCTGGGGACATCAATAAATGAAAAAGTAAATCGGTCCCGGGTCTAGGTCTTACCATGCCACCTACGGTAATAGCTTACTTCGCTATAGGGAAATTCGCTAAAATTGACACCAAAATGATTGAAGCAAGAATTATCAGTGGTAAGTTTAAAGGAGAAATAGTTTTAATCACATGAATACTGATGATTTCATCCGAATTACCCTCTGAATTTAAGAAACTAAAATTTCCTTTGTGTCTTGCTTTCGCAATAACCATTTTAAGACACCAGGGCAATCCCTGACTGTCGTCGGTTTAAATTTAGAATATGCATGCTTTCACACGGACAGCTGTATGTTGCGTGCTGACGTGGTGGTAGGTACGCCTGAAAACTTATATATTTATACACCTAATGAAAAAACAAAAAACATTGTTCATCCACTAGCAATTAAGTAAAATATGTTTTTTTTTGTATACACTTTTATTATTTGTCGTAATGAACTAATTGCCATTTAAAATAATATTTGTTAAGTGCAGCAAAGCGCGCCGGGTAACTGCTAGTATATATATATATATATATATATATATATATATATATATATATAAATCTATCTATCTATCTTACTAATAACCTAATTATAAATCTGAAAGTTTGTGAGTTTGTGTGTGTGTTTGTGTGTGTGTTGCTCAATCACGCATAAACTACTGGACGGATTGGGCTGAAATTTGGCATGATGATAGCTCACATTCCCGATTAACATTAAAGCATATTCTTATCTCAAAAATCCTTTCGGGCTCCGCCCCAGTGGCTCTTTAGTTAACTTTTATGTTAACTTTATAATTTTTCATATTTAAAAGGAATTAATGAATCTTAACAGCTGTTTCAATTAAACAAGTTGGTTCTGTCGTTATGTTCTATGATGTTCAATAGCATAAAAGTTACAAGGATTACCAACAGGGTGCAGCACTATTCTTTTTTTTAAATTTATGACAACAGCTAATTTCCAACTAAAAGGCGAGTTAGCGTAGCGAACGAGCTAACCTGAAGGCAAGTGAGCGCAGCGAACGAGCTCGAACCCGAAGGCAAGTGAGCGCAGCGAACGAGCTCGAACCTGAAGGCAAGTGAGCGCAGCGAACGAGCTCCAACCTAAAGGTGAGTGAGCGTAGCGAACGAACTTCAACCAGGACGTGAATGAGCCATGCGAATACTTATGAAGTTAAACGGGGCAAAGCCCGCGGGTACAGCTAGTATATACATATATAACAATTTTAACGAATGGTGTTTTTGGCCTCTGGGGACATCAAAATCAAAAAGTAAATCGGTCCCGGGCGTAGGTCTTACCATGCCATCTACGGTAATAGCTACTGTACTTCCTTATAGGGAAATTTGCTAAATAGAAACTAAAAACTATAAAAGGTACCTATCTAATAACTTGTTGAATTATTTACATTGAACATTATTTTTAAATAGAATATGCAATAATCGTTACAACAACAACTTCATACCTTAATATTTTATACGACAGTCAAAGACTCCACTGTTTGTGATTACGCATTTTTTTGGTAAATAAAAGGTATACAATGCCTAACTCTCCACTGAAAAGGCAAATCCAAATATAAATTATCACCTTGTCAAAACTTTAACATTATTGAACTACCCACATTAAGTTGCAAGGAGAAAACGAGACTGCTGTCGAGTAAAAAAGTGTAAATACTCGAGTATGAACTTTTATTGAAACTTGACCAGTATACCTACAATATGATGAATAAGTTAAATCCTATTTATAAAAATGTATTTCTGCGTTTATGTATTTTAGTTTCTACCTTTTTATGTTGTTTTAACTCTCGTCCTTTTAGTGGGTAGAATAAATAAAGTACAAGGTTTTCGGCACTTTTCTAACAAAGGGCTATTTTTACACATAACAAAAAAAAACTACTGATGTAATCATCATGAAATTTTAACAGCTAATAGAAAATATACTTATAAAACAAATTTATATGTTTTAAAATTTTTCATCGGTAAAAAAAATCTCTTACTATATTTGTAATGGCTTTTAATTGAGAGACGGAACAGTTAAGAAACTCAGCTGAAAGCTTGAATTAAAGCTATTAAAAATATAAATATGTAATTTGATTTGCAAATTATGTGCTAACACATATTTGAGTCACACAGCTGAGTGTGACTCGTAATCCGTGTTTTTCTAATTAGTTTAGTAACTTTCCTGTATAGCTCCAAATTTGAGTATCTAAACTGTATTACAAGTGACGTTGTAGGCAGAATCTGCCCGCATGACGCCACGCGGCGCGGCGGGTAGCCCCTATATTACAATTTAAATTACAACCAAACTACGCCAGCTAAAAATTTTAAAAAATATGATCCAAAAGGTTCAACTCTTTAGCTACAAAATCCACCGTTTTTTAACTTACCTGACCAAAAAATAAAAAAATTAGCAGCCGACGAACTTTTTCATGTCATATTTTAAAACTCATTTAAAAGTACCGACTTTATTTGAAGATTTAAAATAGAAAATACTAACTTTTAAGCTTTTAATTAAAACCAATAGTGTCATAGACTTATTGACTTCACTCATACGAAGTTTCAACCATATAACTTAAGTCTAAGTAGGCTAAATGTCGAGTTATTTTGAAGCGGAACATTGAGTTTTGGGGCCGTTTAATAAGCTGTGGCAACCACTGTAGAGACTTCTGGCTCAGACTGTACCGTTGGAGGTTATGAAATTTGGACATTATGAACCGCACTGTTTATTTGGTATCTTCACGTTGGAGTTTGTGAAATTTGGACATTGTGAAACAGTGATTATTTGAATGTTATAGATTTGGAGCTTATGAAATTTGGAGGTTATGAACCGCTCTGTTTATTTAATATTTAAACGTTGGAGTTTGTGAAACTTGGACATTGTGAACCAGTGATTATTTGAATGTTATAGATTTGGAGCTTATGAAATTTGGAGGTTATGAACCGCTGTGTTCATTTAATATTTTAAGCGTTGGAGTTTGTGAAATTTGGAGTTTATGAAACGCTCCCCTCTAATCAACATCAAATTTTTTTATTACTTTGAATAACAAATTCGGAATACCAAAATAGATTAAAAGTAATGTTTTTATGATAAGCAGTTCAGTCCAACGCCCAAAAATCAAATATAGGCCTACAAAATTGTTAGTACATCACAGGGTTTTATCTATTTAGGGAAACAAATAATAAGCACCTAAAAAAATACAATGCAACTCCTCTTTAAAATTGTCTTACTATTATTTCCTATTAAAATGTCTTTAAATAAAACCAAGAGCCTTGGGTGTAAAATAATCTGATTAATGTTGCAATGTTGGATACATTTTTGTACATCTTTGTATGCAATACGGTATGCGGTTTTAATTTGGTTTCCCTCAAAGCTTAAAAATCTTTTCTCTGTGATAGCTAAATAGTTGATATAACAATGAAATTTAACTCAAGTAAAATTATACTAAAATTTCACAGAAATTGATAACTTATAATTATAATTAATTGTAATTCTAATAAGGCGATTGTACAAACATTATAAAATTCAATTTCAATCATTTTGTACTACGCCAAATTTATTAATTGTAATTTATATCTAATAATAATTATCATTTTAGCACTCACAGATCTATTTTTATCTTAAATTGCAAACGTGAGCCAATTCGCACTTGCAAAAAGAACTTAATAATTCATTTTTTTAAATGATGTGAGTGATGAAATAACTCTCTTTCCAAAAATACTAGTCTACTTCAAATAATACGGGTGTAGAGAGGTTGTTAGAAAATGGCAAGTATTTACCAGTGTAATTTACAAGAGTAAAACTTTATGAAACACATTGCTGTCTACACTAGTAAAAACCACTAGTAATACTAGTCCCTACACTAGTAACTAGTATTTTACACTAGTAGGTTTATGAAACGTAGACTTGTAAAATACACTAGTATTACTAGTCCATGGACTAGTAAATACTAGACTAGTAGTTTTATGAAACAGGGCCCGTATGAAGAATTGTCATAAATTTGAAATATATATTTAACTCTCCAATCACAGAACCAAGTTTATGCATCTTGTTGGTTTTTCAAAGTCTAAACGGTGAGAAAGCACACTGGTCAAACAGATAGAAGTCTCATCTTGGTTTGTTGTGTAGGATACTGGTAATAAATGTCTTCCTGTACTCCAACTTGAATAATGTAGGGATTATGCAATTATTTTCTATTATGATTAGTAAAAAAACGCTAATTATGTTTTCCTTTTTTAACGTTTGTTGTGTTATATGCAGGCAACAAGATCTCTGGAGAGGACGCGCCATTGGCCACCCAGCTCAGCGAGTGGCTAGAGGCTCACCCTGGGTGGATCGTGGCGGAGGAGGACTCTGACTCTGATGAAGACGATAGTGACGAGGACGAGAACGGCGAACCTAAAGGTAAACAGAACATAATTAACTTAAGACTACTTGGTGTAGTTTATCTAAGAAATTACAGCTTGTTATTGCTGTCAAAAACAGAGGGGAGAGAAAAGAAAAGAACCACACAAAATAACATTCACAACTTTTATGATTGAAAGTTTTCTTAAAGGAATAAAGTTCTAATTGTCTAAAAAAAGAGCCTCAGCTGAGTACCTTTTAAGATATGCTAGCTTAACTAATATATATTTTTAAATATTTCCATATATATTTCCAATGTATTTACTTTGAATCAAATTTATGATTCATTGATTCAAGATCTACACACAAACAGTTTTTCTATTTTAAACAAACACTATGCTCTTGCTTAGAAAATGGAATCATGAATATTATTCTGATGCAATAGCTGATTTTAACCTACTTAAAATCATTTATCATTTTCTTTCATTTAAATCATTTATCATTTTTGAGTATAAAAAGGAGTGTCCATGGTAAGTTTCACGACTAGATGACATTACTGAATTTTTTCATTCACTACATGTACTTTTCCTTTAGAATGTTTCATGCACTTCATATGTATTCAATCGATTTCTCAATTCACATTTTCAGAGAAGAAACATTCAAAGAAAGATGGAGAACAGGTCAAAGAAGTCATTAAAAAAGCCCAGGTAGAAGACGATGAGTACAAATCAATTTCCTGTGAAGAGCATACTTATTATAGGTAGGTGCATGTATTTTTTCTATCCAACAAGTTAATAATAATGTATATTTCTAACTGACATTCTAACTAATACTATCTGGAGGATCGACATTTCCTTTAAATTTTCATGGTAATAATTTATCAAATCTGCATTATTTTAGTTTATATCGGTTTTGGCTAAGAAAGGTTTAAAATGCTCAAAAGTTACCTGAAACAGTAGAGATGGTCAAATTCAGGAATTTTGGATCTTGGGCACAAATCCTAAAATTCAAGTCTACTTTACCAAACAATTGCATACTTACAATTGATTTTCAAAACAGTTTATTCCAGGATCGCTTCATGATCATCTACATTAATTATAATAATTTGCAAGATTTGTTCCTCCAAATGTTTAATTGTGTGTGTGGCTAAGTGTGAGTTTTGAGATTTGATTCTTTAATAGACAATCAAGAACTATAATATTTTCTTAAAATTCCTCAGAATTTATGGTTTTTCTTTGACTCACCAATACTGAACAAACATAATAAAAAGGTTCCATTAAACTTGATTTTGAATTCAGTAGTAAATGTAAAATGATACACGTTCACCCAATTGTGTTTTCAACGGTAACCATTTAACGGTTTTCTACGTTTTTCAGCATTGCACATACAATCCACGAGATGGTGACTGAACAGGCGTCCATAATGATAAATGGAAAATTGAAGGAGTATCAGATCAAGGTATGTCCTATGTATTTGCAATATACATGTTAACTATTGTATACAAATCAATAAACGTTTTACTGGAAACGATATTTAATGAATAAAAAGTCAAATAACTTTTTCCTATAGTCGGTGACAAAGTGGGCTTCCTTGCATGATTATAGCACAGAAAGCTGCTAATTGCTGTATTTACTTACTTTTGCCACACACTTTTTACTTTGTCGCAGTTTTATTTGCCGCAGTTTTATTTGCCGCACACCAGTAATTCCAACCGAAAAACATAAAACAACAAGCTTTTATTATGCATGTAATCTGTGTATGCTTGGCAACACTTAAATATATTACGACTACGATCAGCTGGTGCAGCCTTTCCCATTTTTTTCAATGTTTGGATTCAACCTAAACTAAAAACGTGTTGTACAGTGTTTAAAGACTAATTATTTATACAGTAGTAACTGTAGAAAAAATATAATGTTTAACACAAGTGCAAACTGCCTTTGCTGCACTCGAGAAACTTTCCTCGGCTCGTGCGTGAACATTTCTCTCTTGTGCAGCAAAGTGTCACTTCGCCCATTAGTTACACAAATAACTATGCATTCATTTCTTATTCTTCACTCACATTTGAGTTGAAATGGTTGCACCCCTTCTCAAGGCCAATTGAGTTCCCCATCCCAATTAGTATATAATCAAAAATAAGTGTAAGCAGTTCCAAATACCTTCTTGGGTGAAAATGGCCACAGAAGTAATTGTGTGAAGAGCGAAATGTACAGTAGAGTCCCGCTTTTCCTAAGTAACTGGGACCAAACCAAGGTCAGATTCGCGGGAATTCAGAATAAGCGGTTCTATGTGATAATTAATAATCGTCATTGTGATGTTCATGGTTTTGCCGCAAATAATTTTTACAATTTCATAACAACCAGGAAAAATGTTCTTGATTTCATACTAGCTTCGTACTTATGTCTTAAAAAAAAATTTGAAACATCAGTTTGTTGGTGTATTATCGAAATAGCTGGGCTCCTCTATACTTTGAACTTTATAGTACTGTGTAATCAATATTTGTTTGGGTTTATGATTACTTAATACTACTAACTTAATTGTTATTCCCAAATTGTTTTTCCAGGGTTTGGAGTGGCTAGTTTCGCTGTTCAACAACAACCTCAACGGTATCCTGGCCGATGAGATGGGTCTCGGAAAGACCATCCAGACTATCGGGCTTATTACTTACCTCATGGAGAAGAAGAAGGTCAACGGACCATTCTTGATCATCGTCCCTCTCTCGTATGTATATCTGTCCTTATTTTTGCTTATTTTGCTGTCCACAGAAATTTTGTTTTGCAATTATTTAAAAATCTTTGTTCATCAAATGAGGGAAAGGTTTATAAAAATAGACATAGTTAAAACAATTAAGAATCCTTGAACTCAGGAATTTAAGTGGTGGTAAATCAGTAGTTGTGATAAATTTGGTGTTTAAGATTTCAGTAATTAGACATTTCAATTATTTAATTGTAACGAATGATCTGTTGTCCGCAGCACACTCTCTAACTGGGTGTTGGAGTTTGAGAAGTGGGCGCCGTCAGTGATCGTAGTGGCGTACAAGGGCTCGCCAGGCATGCGGCGCACTCTGCAGGGACAGATGAGGGCTACTAAGTTCAACGTTTTACTGACGACTTACGAGTATGTCATCAAGGACAAGGCTGTATTGGCTAAGGTAAGATAACGAGTTATTAGCTCAGTATGAGGTGTCTATACATTAGTGGAATTTCATTTTGTGTTAGGAATTTTTGACGTTGGTCTGTTTGCAATTTGTAGATTTTACGATCATTTCAGTGATAAAGTGTGGAGAAGATGTGTATTACAGTAAACCCTCATTATAACAGACTTGACTTAATCAGGAGAGCTACACAGCTCTGGAACAACACTTGTTTACAGAAAAAGCCAACTAAACTGGCATATGATGGTCAGGCCCTTTCAATAATTTGGCATCACTATCCAGGTCAAAAAAATTTTTAATGCTTTTTTAAGTCATATTAGCACGTTCGGAAGAGTCAGGAGTGATTGGCAAACAATGGGAGAGATATGCAGACGTCAGGAATAATGGGCAAACATAGTGAGAGATTGGAACAGTCGGTAGCGATTGGGAGCGATGGACAGACGTCTGTAGCGATTAAAAGTGTTAGGAGTGATTGGAAGAGTTGAAAGCGGCTGAAAAAAGCTCTATAATTAGTAGTACTTTTGCAATAACAGCTCTTTTACAAGATACTCAGTATTCCGGCAATTTCAACCCTCTGGCACCACCAAAAGTCCCGAATTAGGGACGAAATATGCGTCTACTTTAGCATATTTAATTTTATCTTGATGATTTGGATTCCTAATTATTCCGAACCATTGAGATTTTCCTGTACTGCGTTTGCTTGTTTTTCTTTTTCAGTTGAACTCAAGTGTCTTAACTTACAATATTGTCGTGATAGTGGGAGATGATGCCATAGTCTTGAGAAAACCATAAACTATAATCAAATAAACAAATTATCAATGTACACCAATTTTTTGGAAAATATTTTTCTTCTTGAGTTTGAGTTATTGTAGGTTCTTTGATAACTTTATCTTAAAAGTAGTTACTAATAACTTATTTTTCCATTTTTTGCTGTGAGAGTTTGATTTCTTGAACTATACTTAGGTTTCAGAACAGTAAGATAAGATTTAGGATGCTTGATTTAACATTAATCAGTTGACTGTGTTTGTGTGCAGCTCCACTGGAAGTACATGATCATTGACGAGGGTCATCGTATGAAGAACCACCACTGTAAGTTGACCCAGGTGCTCAACACACACTACACAGCGCCTCACCGTCTCCTACTCACTGGCACACCTCTGCAGAACAAACTGCCGGAGCTGTGGGCGTTGCTTAACTTCTTGCTGCCCAGCATCTTCAAGTCTTGCAGCACGTTCGAGCAGTGGTTTAACGCTCCGTTTGCCACCACGGGTGAAAAGGTGCGTATTAGTTTAGACTTCCTTGCTAAATGTCACACGTACCTCAGTCGGTACTTTATCCCAATTACACTGCCTCTTTACTAGATGTTTTTTCTGCAGCATCCTCCTCATTAAACTTCAACTTCCTCTTTTTCCGACCTTGTCCCACCATCTTTCTTTGGGTTTTTTGCCTTCCTAAAGATTTCTCAATGATTTACCATTTCTTGTTTCAAAATGTATCCCAGTAATATGTATTTTCAATCTGGCTTTTAATCTCATTCACTATATCTGAATGTTTGTATATGTTGTGGATTCATAATTAATTGGGTTTGATTCTTTGGACAGAATTTTGGAAAGTTGTAGCAAAGATCTTACTGTACCTTGTTTACAAAAACGATGACTCTTCTACTTTCCATGAATTTTTAAAGTTAATGTATTTATTTATTTATTGATTATGGTCAAGGAGCAGCCAATATGTTGAAAGTGTTACATTGACAGAATGACTAATTTTTAAATCTTAAACAGTTGCTATCCGCACCAAAATATGTCTGACATGGCCTATTCACCTTAACGTCTTACAATAATTTCTCCTGGAGTTAAAATATGAATTCCTACATATCCTCTTCCATTTTAATTGTTTCTCAGTCTTGGTGTCAATTAGGCATCTTTATCGTCTCCTATTCTTTCACATTCTTCTTCCACTACCCACCATTTTTAAACCTTACAGTGTCACAATTATCATAGTAAAATATAAAATGTTTCTAAAGGTACTGAACCTGATTAATGTTGACTTCGCTTTTCAGGTAGAATTAAACGAGGAAGAAACTATTCTGATCATCCGTCGTCTGCACAAAGTGCTTCGGCCGTTCTTGCTGCGACGTCTCAAGAAAGAAGTGGAATCTCAGCTGCCAGACAAAGTGGAGTACATTATCAAATGTGACATGTCAGGACTGCAGAGGGTCTTGTACAGGTTAGTGTGGAGCTCTTCTATATGTACGTGTTATATTAATGGGTTCTTTGAGCTTATAGTCAAAGATGGTTCATTTTTTTTAAACTTAAACCTATACTGCCAACTGTCTTTGTTGGAAATACACAGACTTATCAGTACAAACTGATAGAGAGACCTGTATCCAAAATATCCATTTAACATCTTGTTTCTTCAGCTATCTCTTTGATGTATAACTTTGATTTACAAATAACGTGTTCATGTTGTTTTGCAGACACATGCAGAGCAAGGGGGTGTTGCTGACGGACGGCTCAGAGAAGGGCAAGCAAGGTCGCGGAGGCGCCAAGGCCCTGATGAACACCATTGTACAGCTGCGTAAGCTGTGTAACCATCCGTTCATGTTCCAACACATCGAGGAGAAGTACTGCGACCACATCGGCAGCAATAACGGCGTAGTCTCCGGGTATGTAGCAACCGGATAAATCCTGCATAGTTGGTAGTGAATTTGTTGCTTTTGTTTGGGCATTAAGTTAGTGGATGATTAGAGTATCGATAGTAAAGTAGATGACAATTATAGGGAACACAATTTTGGTCGAGTTGCGTTTACATTAGTAGTTGAACAAGTACTTTTGATTAGTTGATCATGTCTTTACTTTTGTTTGGGTATTAAGTTGAACGATCATTACTGAGGCGAGTATTGAAAAAAATAGTAAAGCTAAGGAAAATGTAAAATTATGTTTGGATAGCAAATGTTACATTTCTCAATTGTTAGAATACTTTGTTGTCGTTGATGTTGATGGTTGGTGCTTTCTGTTTAAGTGCTGCACAAAGCAAAACCGAGTAAGCAAGGATTGTATTACCGACTGGTGTCTAGATATAAAAATTCAATTTTACGTCATCTTTAAACCAAAATCAAACATGTAATAAATATCCTTTATTTGATACTTTTGATAAAAGTGACAGTTTTAAGTGCTGTTATTTTATTTTTAGATATACTAATCTACTTACAAAGTTTGCAATTTTGTGAATCGCTAGTACAGGAAATAGTGCAAACTATGGCTGCATATAGCAATAACTACCTGTATGAATAGATAACTCAGTAGACAGTACTGAAAATTGTGTTTTTATGTCTTTCATTCCTGTATTGCAGCCCAGACCTGTACCGAGTGTCGGGCAAGTTTGAACTGCTCGATCGCATCTTGCCCAAGCTGAAGAACACTAACCACCGAGTGCTGCTGTTTTGTCAGATGACCCAGCTGATGACCATCATGGAGGATTATCTCGGCTGGAGAGGCTTCACTTATCTGCGACTTGACGGAACCACCAAGGTGCGGCATGCAGTGTTAACCACACTTTATTCAGTTGTTCTTTAAAATGTTTTATTTGGCTTACTAATGGCTTATTGCACTCTAGTGATGTGTCAAAACCAAATCTCAAAACCATCAAAACTTTGGAAAAGTTTCGGTTTCGTGATTCAAAATTGAAGATTTTGGCAGTTTTATTTTTGAAACTGCTGACATTTTTAGTATATAATACTGAAGTTATGTGTTATTAGACGAAAATACTGATTGACATTACCTTTGGCCCTAACAAAATCCATATGAGGGATGGTAAAATAAATTAGTACACAAAGCATAAATATATTAGTATTAAATTCTATACACTACTACTTTTGTTACGACAGTAGGCCTACAAACTTTGGTTACTAATTTTGTGTAATAGACCACCTTTACAATATGTAATGGAGTAAAATAACACTAATAGATTATGTTGGTTTTGTCATTGTAAAGGCGGAAGACCGAGGAGACTTGCTGAAGAAGTTCAACCACCCGGACAGTGAGTTCTTCATCTTCCTGCTGAGTACTCGTGCCGGAGGTCTGGGTCTCAACTTGCAAGCGGCCGACACTGTTGTCATATTCGACTCCGACTGGAACCCTCATCAGGTACACTGTGAAGATTGCTTGATTTCCTAAGGTCCCAGGAATCATTCCCCAAGTGTTCTATCTACTTTCACACCCACTTAAAATAGAGCAACAAGTTCTTATAACAATTCAGTTAATAGCCTAACCCTCTAAACATCTTCCTGAACAAAACAGGCTTCCTTGCCTCCTCCTTCTCATTTTGCATTTTGTAGATGCAAATTTGGACTACCGGCAGAAGTAGAGAAGCCTTTTTGTAAACAGGTTTTTTCACCATGTACTTAGGCAGCATCTCAGGAGGATGATTTATGTGTTTCTATTTAAAAATGTTATGCCTTTGGCAAGATGAGTTGATTCCTGTACAGATCTTGTAGACTCCCCAAAGACACCTGAAGAACGTGACGTAGTCTGAGAAATTGTAGCCATCGTCAACTACCATATATTAATGTATGTTTTCTCTACAGGATCTGCAAGCCCAGGATCGAGCTCATCGTATCGGACAGCAGAATGAAGTGCGAGTTTTACGTCTGATGACAGTCAACTCTGTAGAGGAGAGAATCCTCGCTGCGGCCAGATACAAGCTGAACATGGACGAGAAGGTCATCCAGGCGGGAATGTTTGACCAGAAGTCCACGGGCTCCGAGAGACAACAGTTCCTGCAGACCATCTTGCATCAAGATGACGCTGATGATGAGGTATTCTATACACTATGCAATAGTTTATGTTACTATATGCAATTTTTAAACACTGTTTACACTGGATCTCTATTTCCTTGCAGACTCAAAAAATACATACAGTAGAGTCCCGTTAGTCCGAAATGGTTGGGACCGGGCCCATTTCAAATTACCTACCAAATATTTCGGATTAAAAGTATTTTTTTTTTATTTTTTATTTTTTTTTAATTTTTTTTTGTCTTCTTACTACTTTTTTTGGACGCAGGCACGAGCCCGGGATTGTTTTTCACATTGGCTAGACCTATTGGCTGCAGCATTATCACTTAATAAAATCCATTTGTGATTTGGCGGACGAAAATGTAAAATGTTGCAATAATAACAAAAATGGTGAAATGTTACTAAAATACTCAACAAAAAAAGTCAATCTCGCCCAGCCACTACAGAATACTTTGACGAGGTACAGCTAACTGTGTCAAAAGTTTAATAAAACAAAATTCAAACAAATTTTAAAAAATTTCCAAAAAATTTCAAAAAATTTCCAAAAAAATTTCCAAAAAAGTTTCAAAAAAATTTTCAAAAAATATTTAAAAAATATATTTTTTGATTTCGGATTAAGCGGACTTTCGGATTACCGAAGTTCGGATTATCGGGACCCCACTGTAATACTCTGACACATGTATTTAAAATTATAACATCAAATTTCTTTGTATAAAAGCAATAGAAATTGGTCTATGAATACAGTATATTGAGGAAGGAATGGATACACTTACACATTTACCCAAGAAAAGAGAGGCAGTTGATAGTACACAAAAATTTCATAAAACAATAATAAATTTGAAATTACGCCCCTACAACGTGGCTTCTTAAGTAAGAAATTGTAGAATGAGCATTCTACTACTATTTTAAATATTTTGTCGGCTGTCAACTTCCTGAAACCCTCTCCTTAGGCTTGTGATCAACATCTTCTTCCTTAATGTATTTGTTTTGATTTTGTTTCTCCATTTTGTTAAATATTCTAATTTTTAATTTTGTCTTGTAGCTTGCTTACAGTTTTCTGCCTATAACTTATTTTCAACTCATAACTTAGTTATTATAAAAAGACTTGTTTGCAAGGGTTTAGAAAAATCCAACTAAACCTTGCTTATGAAAAATCAAGAAAATTGTTTTCATTACCAAATTTAATATCACGATTCTTACTAAATCGTTGATTTATTCAGGAAAATGAAGTACCGGATGACGAGACGGTGAATCAAATGATCGCCAGAAGTGAAGCCGAGTTTGAGATCTTCCAGAGGATGGACCTGGAGCGACGGAGGGAAGACGCCAAGCTGGGAGTGAACCGCAAGTCTCGTCTGATAGAGGAGACGGAACTGCCTGACTGGCTGGTCAAGGATGATGACGAGGTAGGTCAAAGTGGTGGTCTCTGTATGTATGTGTTTGTTCTTGGTAAAGACTAAAACTACTGAACCAGCTGGGTTCATTATATATAAGTGAACATGAAAGTAGGGCCTAGTAGACATTTGGGCTTTTCCTCACCTTCAAGTCTCCTTGTTTTCGTTCAATGCGCATAGCTTGAGTCCTTGGACTGGGTAGTCTTAATTGTGTGTTGAGTGGTTAGTGTTGATGATTCAGTTATCTTTTTCTGTTGTTTACATGTTTTTTTTGCCTTTTGAGTTTGACACTTGTTATTAGTTATGGTTTTTCCTTAAACTGTCTGATTATGTTTCAGATACCTTGCCATTTAAAGATAAACTCAGAAAAGGTCTTGTAATGTTGTGAATGTTATTGTGTTGAGGATGGAAAATATTCACGGTAATTTTTTCATCACCAAAAATGAACTGGAATCAAAGAGTATCTTGATCTATTTATCTCAAGAATTAGTTTGTATTAATTTACTTACGACTGTGATGTTACCGGCAGGTGGAGCGATGGACTTATGAAGAGGAGCCGGAGGTGCAGATGGGCCGAGGGTCGAGACAACGCAAGGAAGTCGACTATACAGACAGTCTCACAGAGAAAGAGTGGCTTAAGGTAATGTCAAAAATTTCAAACCCACTTTCTCTTGTTGGGTTAGCTCAGACAACACACTAACAGTTCAACAATTCTGATGTTGGTACAAAAATTAGTGGTTTGCTGCAAAAACGCATAATGCATGGAAGAATTAGTAAATTTATATTACTAAACAATAAATAGCCAAACCATCTGTATGACTAAAAAGAGTCAAGCGGACAGGTTGTTTACAAATTAGAGTTTATGTGTGAATTAAACATATGTGACTCTACGAACCTTCAGAATTTCAAACTTAACTAATCCAAATAAGAGAGGAAACCATTGATAAACATTTAACATCCTGTGGAAAGAACCATTTCCAAAATATATAATCAGGTTATGTTTTTATTAATACTTCTGCGGTGGACACCAAAAATTTCACTCTAGAATAAGGATGCTTCAGAGTTAACTGTGATGAATTTTACAGGCAATCGACGACGGTATTGAAGATTACGAGGAAGATGATGAAGAAGAGACGAAAAAGAAGACACGCAAGCGGCGGCGACGCGCGGGAGATGATGACGACGATGAGCCGAGCACCAGCAAGCGGCGGCGAGGATCGGACAAGGCCTCTGTAGACGCAAAGCTGAAGCGGCAGATGAAGAAGTTGATGAACGTAGTCATCAAGTACACTGACAGGTAGCGTACACAGCAAAGCGCTTGGTACAGAACAGTTAACAGTTCAGCTGTTACATTTTTTATGAGTAAAGTAAACTCAGTTTTGTAAATAATATGAGTTCCGAAAAATCGGACTGTACTTGAGATTTAAATGTTGAATATCATATTTTGTTGGTGGAATTTAAAAACTTGAGATATTTTCCTTGGTACTCAGGAATCTTGCAATATTAATACAATCTCAATGGTCACTATTATTGTTGCCAGTACCGAAGCAGATATTGTAAGTGCTGCTACAATTTAGGTGAAACAATTTTTAAAAATAAAAAGTTATAGAATTGATTTTAAATTAAGTAAAATGTTAAAAAGTAAAAGTAAAAAGTTTTAGTCAGTTTATAAAAAAATACTTTCCTTTGATTTTTACTTTATGAACTGTTGTGTTCACTTTCCTTCCTAGTTTTGAAAAGACATGTTTTTGTATTTTTTTCTAGCATAATTAATTGTTTGGGTATGCCAGATTTTTTCTCTGTAAGTGCTGCTACAATTCTGGTGAAACAATTTTTAAAAATAAAAAGTTGTAGAATTTATTTTAAATTAAGTAAAATGTTTAAATAGTAAAACTAATCAATTAATAAAAACTATCAATTCAATGTAAAACTATCAATTCCTTAAGGTTTTCCTGCCACATTACAAGAAAATAAAGTCTAAAATACCACTGACGAAATAGATTTAAATTATGTGTTTATTTTTTAATACAAATATTTCCGATGATATTAAATATAAACTACTAAGCTGTCAGCTGTTCTATCTAACATTATCACCAGCCGCAAACTAATAATAAATTCAACGCATTTCTAACTGCATGAAGAGTAATGAATGTCAAAACTAAAAATTAAAAAGTTTAAAATACGTTTTTATCACAATAAATAAAACTCAATTTTTCATCAGTTAGGTTAAATTACTTAAGTCTCCTTTCCAACTGCTCATCAATATTTTTACTTACCTCATTTTAATTTTTAATAATAGTAATTTTTTATTCTTTTAACGATTAGAAATGGATTTTCGATAAGTGGGTGTAGTTTTTTGTTATACGTAAAATAAAAGCATTGCTAAGGTCTACAGCTCGGTCTTTGAAATTCGCAAGAGGACATTTTTTACTTAAATCAAAAATGGTTTGGGAACCAACACATAGCCTTTGAATTGTTTATTAAAATGTGGAAAAATTAGTGCAGATGTTATTGTTCCAATATACAAATCATTTATGTCAGTGTCAAGGAAGAAGCAAAGAAGAAATAAATGTATGTAGACATTATACAGGAAACCCGTTTATTTAAGGTTTTTGGTTAGGTTTCATTAAGTCTACATCTAGGGATAACCTAACCTATCATTGCTCAGACACAATAGGAGAAATTCCTAATGTCAAAACAAGATCCATGGTGGAAGATAAGTCTGCAGAAACAAAAAAAAAAAAAAACATATTTAGAAGGTAGAACTGAAATTTTAATGTTGAATCAACGTGAGTCGTTTATTTTCTGTCAGAGATAACTTTCCAAACCACACTCGTGTAATTAAGGTAATAATATTGAAATAAATAGTTATTTGTGCAACTAGTGAGAAAAGTGAGCAATTGACTCACTCGAGAGAAATCCTTACTCACGAGCCGTAGGCGAGTGAGGAATGGTTTCTCGAGTGAGGCAATTGTACTTTGAACTCGAGTTGCACATTATATTTTTCCTACAGTTACCATAAAACAAATAAATTTGTGAAGAAACATAACCTATTTTTACACAGAAGTGAACTTTTAACATAACATTTAATGTGAAGTGACAAATACAACAGTACAACAGCTGACCAGCTGATTTACAGCCAGTGCTGCCAACGTATTTCGCGCGCATACGACGTTGCCTGCATGTTACGCGCTCACTATTTCGTGCCTTCACGTTGCAAATCTGGAGTGAGACAAAGTAATTAGAGTGAGACAATGTTAACATTGTCTCACTGATGAGCGAACTGGCCACTTTGCTTTCTCAAATCAGTGAGAGAACATGTACATTGTTAGGTAACTGTAGGAAAAAGGTTTTTTCGCTAATTACAGGATGTCCAACCGTCCTGAAAATGGGAAAAACTTGGAATTGTATGAAATTTGTTATGATCGGAAAAAATCTGTGAATCGTACGTAAAACTTGTATAAGAGCAAGAAATTTTATATTGTGAAATAATCCTCGATAAAATCCACGAAATATTGCCTTTTTTCTCTTTTTTGCTTTTTTTGTGTCAAGCAAAAAGATTGCGATCACGGCAAATGATCACGTTGTTGCAGAGGTCGTGGAAGTCACTGAGATAGAAATTATCACAGACTTTGCTGCGATCACAGTTGTTGTCGTCATAGCATAGACGATCACGGATGATGTCAGGATTGCAGAAAATTATCGGAATTATTGCTATGGTCACGGGAGATCATCACGGGTACCAACACGGTCACTAAAGATTATCACGGGTTCTAATACAGTCGATGGAGTTTATCTTGATATTGCCAAGGCACTGGACACCATGAATTATAATTTTGAATACTCCACTTTAATTTTAGTATGATGTTTCTTTCAATATTGTCGTCCTAGTGATGTACAGTTTGATAAGTCGATGATTTTAGGGTGGAATTGTCAACCATGTTTAGGTATTGACCACTTTAGAAAACCTGTCTAGGTGATATTATCTTTAAACCTGATCTACAAAATCATGATCATAGGCTTCTAGTCTTTAAACAACTCTATTGTGAAATATAAGATTTTTTACTTCCACCTAATCCATCTATCTTCTATCTCCTATTCTAAGAAATAATGTTTGACACATTTCTATGCAAATAAAAAAAAAAAATCTTGCTAACTGAGCATTCATTTTTATATTGTTTGTCTACATAGAACTAGCGCTGTTATTTATATCTTTTTGGCAATGTAGTTTTGGTATAAAAAATACTTTATTGAAATGAGCAGTCGGACTGTAGTAGCAAAATGCACAATTTATATTGTTAAATAAACATTTAACATTGGTTTTAAAATATAAATTTGTTAGTGATACTGTACATGAGAATAAAACTTTTTATCTTCGATGAATCTATAACTATGATAAGAATCAGAAAAATTTAACAATTACCAAATTACTAATAGATAACTTGATGTTAGAAATAATTGTCTATGTAGTTAACAAAAAATGTGGTAGGTTTTAAAATCTATTTTGTTGTTTAGTTTTTCAATCAACTAAATGTGATGTTAACATTAACTATTCTATTGTAATTACCCTCACAAATTTTAATCTTTTGTACATCTGGTTGCTTTACATTTAACTTCACGCTCATCCTATGGTTTTTGGTTTCACTTCGCTTTATATTGACACAAATTCACAACTTTTTTAACCACTGTTAATACTTTGTTTTTCTACTAAGACTAATTTGTTTTGGAAGATTAAACTTTAAATATAATTTATATTTTTGCCACAAGTCTTGTAAAACTGGGTAGTCTTGGTTTATGGCGGTTGAATAATAAGATTAGTAACCGTATTGATACTTTTTCTAAAGTATTTAAGTTCTAACTGTTGCACACTTAAGCTCAGACTCATAAGTCAATCAAAAGCCGATTGAGACGTGTTAGGTCTTCCGTGCTAGCTTTTCAAATAGTTAAAAGTAGTTGGTTCAAATGGTTGGATTGTCCATGTCAACATGGATTTTGTTAGGTTCTTGTTTATCTTTATATTTCCACATCTTGCATTAGTTTCTTTCACAGTTAAAAACTGTTGGTCTAAGCGGGTGGTTGAAATACTCATAAAATCTTGGTGTGTAGGAATCATCTGTATGAAAACGTTAGAGAATTTATTCTCGATTCACTTTTTGATTGCCTTTAATAAATTGCTATCATTACTTAGTGTGGCTCTTAATTATCTCGTTTATTGGTGTTCTAGTCTTGTCTCATTGTTGTACAGTAATCGTTTGGCGAGGTTTAGTTGGTTCTTGTCATGATTGTATTCTTGGATCGTAATTATGTTGTTCATTGTCTTTTGTCTCATTGTGGTAGTTGTACGTTTTAATCATTGTTATGACGAGTGATACATTGATTATTTGGTGAAGTTTAGTAGAGTCTTGTGAAGATTGCATTGGTTCGTCAATAAATCATAATGCTTATTGTTGTTATATCCAGAATAGTTTTGCCACGATTCATTCCGTCTATTGCTTGTAGGAACTTGTTTGTGAGCAGTTGAGCTGGAGATTCTCAAGTAGCTGTTTTCTAAATTTCCCATAATGTTTTCTTTGTAAGGTTGGCAGAAGAACCAGCATTTCTTTTGAATTATGAAACTACATTTTGTTCATCTATGGCAGCTTAAGTCAAGTTTTTAATCTCTGAAAGGGTCTTAAAACTTGTACAATCAATCTAAAACTCCCTTTACATTACACACATTCAGTTTATTAAAAGTGTTTAGGATTTGTGATCTACATGTTGCTTCAAGTAACATTATGTTGTTAACTAACCATTCCTTTCAAACTGAAGGATTTTTTTCAACATTTGTGACTGGTAAAGTTTGTTAAACGTAAGATTTAACCTGTCGATAGCTTTTAACAAATATATATTTTGGTTTTTAAACATGATTAAAACATAACCATTACTTCTTCTCTACTTCTATAATAAATTGTATCATTATTGTTTCTTTTATTCTTATTATATTTTGTTTGATTTTACCAATACTCAATTGATTAATACTACTAATAAAAGAAAAAAAAGTTAGGTATGAGCAGTTGGAAAGGTATCAAGTGCATGAGAATAGATTTTAAATAAGTTTAAACTTTAAAACTGAACTCAAAACAATAAAAAACTGTTAGATATTTTTCAGTTAAGTATAATGGATTTCATACAAATACTCAACTACAGTAGAACTTCAACTATCCGAACTCTAACAATCTGAATAGCCGATTATCCGAATCGCTTACAAAAGGATTTCTTAAACCTAAAACTCCAGTAGTAAATATCGTTTTTAAAGAAGGCAGAATTTGTGATCGCGGCAAAATTCAAAACCTCTCGTGGTCATCTCCCGTTATGGAAACATGGTCATCGTTTTTTGCTATCAAGACTAAATCTTGCACATCTTCAGTGATCTTGTAGATATCATCGTATCCCGCGATCACAGAAACATCGCCATTTTACTTATTCGTGACCAAATGTTAAATATATACCACAGTCATGTAAACATGGTCATCGTCTCCCGCCATTGAAATATCGCCATCACGACAAAATCTTGACAATCTTCTGCAATCGTGAAGACATTATCATTCGTTCTCCGCAATCGTAACAAGCTAAAATCTTGGCAAAATCGTTCTGCGATCGCGATTGTAAGAGCTCGGCCTGACTGTAAAGTATCCTGAATTTCAATAAAAATAACTATCCGAATGTAGTACAGTCCCAATTGATTCGGTTACTTGGAGTTCTAGTATATCTTTAAACACTTTTGTTTAGGCTTTGCTCTCATAGACCTCTAAACATAAAAAAAATGCAATCCATTTTCTCTTATATGAGCTATATTATTTAAAAACAATTTAGATGTAATTTCCTTAAAAAAAAAAAAAAATAAAATGCATTCATATAGATGAGATTTGTAAAGCTATGTGAGCCTGTATCTATATATATATATATCGAAAACATGCACATGTTTTAGTTAGGTTGAATCATTTATTTAAATAATAACAAAAATAATTAAGTATTTAATTTCCAATTAAATGTAAGGATTAATAATATTGTAAGATTTTATAGTTCCTTATTTTAAGGTGAAAATGTTTGAAGTAAACTTACTTAAAATTACTAAAGTTTTAAAATGACTTTGTATTTCCCCCTTGATTCATAATATGACAATTTTAATTAGTAGTATTCTAGTTACTTCATAACCTTAAAAATTGTGTTACTTTAGAACTTTAAAATCCTTCTCCTGATTTCTTTTATTTAGTTTCGCTTTGGTATCCCTAGCTGGAAACCGTTTTGTTTGTTCTGAAGTTCTTTAGCCGTTCTTCTCTCCCTTTGGAGTTTTGTTTTCAAGGCTTGTTTGATTTCTCTGTCGGTTGTTCGGCTTGGTATGTTCTGTTTCCCCCTGTTGTTGGTAGACCTGGTGGTCGACTCATGTTTACCGAGATGCTGTATGTTTCAGTCAGCCCAGGCAGTGATGATCCAGTGACTTTAGTAGAACATAGACTCTAGTTCCGTTGTTTAGCTTCACAGTGATATAATTTCCCGTGCTAGTTGTGTGGTATTTATCCTAACGTTTTCCCTGTGTTGAAACTTTCTTGTCGAACTGTCGTGTGTGAAAGTGTGGTGTCGGGATGGTTCTTGCTGCTGCTAAGGTAGGTTACGCTACGTTTCTGTCTTGTGGTCGTCTAGTGTAGTGGTTTAGATGTAGCTTTGGTAGGTATGCCCGCCTTTCTTAACGTATTTTAATGGGAAGTATGCCTACAGGTATATAAAGTAAGTTTTTTCCGAAGAATCAAGAAAGGTTCTAAAGATATATTTTCCTTAATTGGTTTTATCTCTTTACGTTTCACAATATAAATTTAAGATATTTTTACCCTTTCTATAAAGCGAAATTTTCAGTGATTTTAATAACATGTAGGCTAATTTGTAGCAGGAGAAAAAGGTAAAAACTAGAAGTTATCATTAAGCTATACCAAAGATAAAACCGCCTTAATAGATTTCTCATCCTTATGGAACAGCTGAAGCCAATTTTTTTTTTAGTTCTGTACGGTGCACTGTAGTGGTTGTGTTTTGTTTATAATTTGTTTCTTGTGGTTTCAGTAATTTAAAAACCAAATAATACAATCTAATCATAAACAATAAAGCTCAAATCATAAAACTAACCTAAAAATAATAGAAATAAAATTTAGTCATCACTAGCGCCCAGTGTCACCGTACATGAACTAGACACGAAAAACAAGTTTCAAAATTTACAATGGGATGAGAAGTCTACTTGTGTTGGTTAGTCTATGGTTATATGAAATACCTTGTTGTCTATTTAATTATGTCTGTGCTCCTGATAACTTAATATCAGCACCCTTAAATGATTTGACAGAATCCACAATGTGATTATAGTGATAATTAATTACTAAATATACAGTAGACTCCCTCTTATACGGACACATTTCAACAGTAGGCCTACATCGGTTTAACTATACGTTTCAGCAGAAGTGCTCTTTAACCAGACAATCTTTATCAGCACATTGGTTTACTGGACTGGATCGGCAGGAAGTTGGCGATACTGAAACGATTTTCCTCATGGGAAAGATTTGAGACCAGTGATCACGTGTCCAAATACAATACTATCCCAAATTTAAGTAGATATTTGGATTGATTTCGAGTGATTGACAAATTTAAGGGGTCGGAAAACCCCCTTGAACTGGCTGCGGTCCCGAGGAGTCCGGATAAGAGAGAGTATACTGTAACAACACATTTTAAACAAACACCAAAAGTTATTCACAAACTCAAATACATATATGTTATTGCTGATTTTAAAATTATCTTGTGAGTATCACCACACCTTCCTAGACTCCCTCTTATCCGGACACCTTTTAACCAGACTACACTTGACGGGAATGACATCTCTTTAAACAGAAAGTTTTTATCAGCACATTGGTTTAACCGGACTAGATCGGCAGGAAGTGGGCGGTACTGAAACAACTGTTCTCGTGGGAAAGATTTGAGACCAGGGATCACGTGACTAAATACAGTACTCTCCTAAATTTAAGTTGAATATCACAGTAAACGGAACGTTTTAACGAGTTTTTGGGGACGTAGGTGAGGTTTAAACGGGAAAACCCATTATCCGGACTTGCCTCAGTCCCGAGGAGTCCGGATAAGAGGGAGTCTACTGTATTGTTATTTTACTCTAAAACAAAAACTTCTACTAGTTTGAATCTGAATAAAACCAGTAATAAAATGTTTAAGCAATTTTTATGTTTTTCTTTAAATGATGAAACGTAATTTTATTTCAGCGATTCGAGAGTGCTAAGTGACCCTTTCATGAAGCTCCCTTCAAGAAAAGAACTTCCAGATTATTACGAAGTCATTAAAAAGCCTATGGACATCAAAAAGATAATGACAAGGATTGAAGAATGCAAGGTATGGTGTACAATGTGATTTAGCATATGAAAACCTAGGTTAACAGTAGACTTGTGTATTTGACAGTTTCATGTGACAAAAAATACACAACAAACTCCATACAAGATCTGTGTCCAATAGAGGGTTTTTTTTAGTAGTCTGAACAATACAGAGGTCTCACACTACAGGCTGGCCACCTGTATGTGTAAAATCAATTTCTTTTGTCTCATTTAAAAAAAGTTCTGTAGATTTAAACTCACACCATGCATTTTCTTCTATTTGTCCACAGTATGTAGACTTTGACGATCTGGAGCGAGATTTCATGCAGCTGTGTAAGAACGCACAAATGTACAATGAGGAGGCGTCGCTCATCCACGAGGACAGCATTGTGCTGCAGTCAGTGTTCACCAACGCAAGACAACGGCTCAGCCAGGAGCCCGAGTCGGAGGATGATGAAGACAGCAAAGGTGAGTCAATAGTGGTGTCGGTAATGCAATGATACAGTTGATGGCTCAACATAGTCATTAACTGAGACTTCTATAATTCAAGGACTTTCCAACTAACCTACTGTATTTTTATCATTGGGATTAAGATAGTATTTTACACAAAAAAAAATTACACAAAACAGGCTGGAGTATCACATTTTCAAACTGCTCCAGTTTCGTTTTCAGCACCTTTTTGGTCTGCCTTTAGGCCTTCATTGCATTTTCGACACCATCAATTGTAGGTTCAAGTACAAAGGATATGCCTCAGGCTTGCTTTCTGCTGTAGACGCTTATCAGTAGGCTAATGTTATTCGTATTATGATTGGGCAGGCCTCGCTTTGCTAGATGCGGTATTATGCATTGCAATAGACTTGTTTGATTATCACCGCTGCCTAGCAGCTATTTGTTATTTTTGCTGATTCCTCTAAATATTTCTTCACATAACCAAGAAAGGTTGTAGTTGTGTAAATTTATTGTATGTATTTTCTCAATTTTGTATAGTGTGGTGAAAAATAGGTTTCATACCATGGGCCAAAAGGGTTTTGCAGCTCTCGACGTTGTTTCAAACTTAAAAAATTATCTTTAGCCGGCAAAACGTCATTTTCGGCCCTAGGTCGAAATATACTTTTTCATTTAACTTTAACTTATAAAGGTCTATAGTATCTTGCAATTTAAAAAATATGTAACCTATATATATATTATCCAAAAACAGATGATAAGGACCGTTTTAACCCTTTTCTGACTTTTCTTATATTTCTTGTCCAGGGGGCAATGATGATGGGAACACTTCGGATGGGGACTCAGTCAAAGTCAAACTAAAACTGAAAAAAGGCAAAGACGGCAAGGGTTCAGCAACTAAACGGAAACGCAGCAGCAAGAAATACATCAGTGACGACGAAGACGACTTGGAAAGCATCCCAAGCTAAAACTGTGTGTGTAAAGACCAACAATCGTACAAGTTATATTCTTGTAGTAGATAGAATTATACCTTGTGACTGTTTTATGTACTTTTTGTGATCTAAAGATAGGTATTTTTAATGAATCCTTTTATTAGTTTACAACTAGGTTACGGTTTTTGGATAGATAAAGAATCATAACAAACCAATGTTTTTTTCTGTAACATTTTAATTTTGAATTTCCATAATTTGGTTTATATATGATATGAAAACTATACATGGTTTGATTTTTGACAAGCTTTATTCTGTTGTGCAGTTTCTGAATATTATGAGACAGTTTATCATGTACTATAGTGTGATATATCCCACCTAGTTTTGTTTGCATTTATCGGGTTTGTCAGGTTAACTTATTATCATTTAAAACCCTTTGAATTATTTCCTGGAACTGTGATGACTCACTTAGATTTTTGTGATGTTAACAATTTACAAATTGTTCAATACCGGTACAAAAAAATTTAATTAGTTGTTTTCAAGAGTAACTAAATTTGATAAATTGTTTGAAGTAATGATTGTTGTTTTATTGTTTTATCAACCACATTGTTTTGTGGTATTTTGATTGTTATCTTCAAAGTACCAAGAAATGATGTAATAAAAAATCTAGGGATGGACGAGATTGGATTTTTAGTTCGAGACGAGACGAGACGAGATTTTTTATTTCTCATAAAATTTCGAGACGAGATCGAGACGGGATTTCCCTTCTCATACACAACGGGAAATACACATTCAAAATTTTTACCTGATTTTGTAACATTGTTAGATGACTGTTTAAATACAAAAATAATGATAATAGGCAAGAATATTTACAATATTTTATTAAAAAACATCAGCATAACATTTTTTTATTAATCACGCCTAACTTATTAAAAATGCCTATGATTAGAAAACATAGTGATATCAGTTAGGATAGAGTTCAACTTATCCTAAAATAAAATAAATCATAAAATAAAAGCAATATTAATTTTTATAAAATAGTTACTTGTTTTGACTTTTTATAGTAATAAAACATTCCTCACACTGCTTACACTTAACAAAACTTCTCAAATGTTATTAAAGTAATATTATTTAAATAATTAAAGTAATATTTACATTTAAAGAATTAATTAAATAAGAACGCAAGGAAACGCAACTACAAAACGCTTCTGTATTGCGGGTATTGCATTGACTTTCTGCAGGCGTTTTTAATTTTTAATTTTTTTTTGTATTCTCGTCTCGATAAAAATCTCGGCCAAAAAGAAATCTCGTCTCGTGTAACGAGATTTAAAATTTCCCGAAAATTTCCCGAAATTTCGAGACTTGACCATCCCTAAAAAAATCCTAACAACCTACAGCTGACACATTTTATTTCAATGTTTAATTTTCTTTTGTTCCTGGAGATTTAAGTTAACCTGACCCTAGATTATGTTTATTTTCCTGGATAAGACAGTTTTAAGTTAATAATCAAATCATTTTTGTGTTTGTACAGATTTTGAGCCTAGCTATCTTTAAATCACTGACCAAGAATTTTTTAAATGTATAAAGTTAGTTTATTATTGCAAGTTCTTAGTTTATATGTTGATTATACCATTTATTATTTACTATTTTGTTTAATTAAATTCTATGCTAAAAGTTTTTTATTTATTTTTGACTTTACTAGCTTTACGGTATAAAATTATGATTATCCTTTCTGGATACAAATGAAACACAGTTCTATTGAAAAGCAAATTTTGAAATATACAATGGACGTTTGTATGTGTATACTATTAGTATTAAAATATAAAATATTTTGTGGTTTGTGTAATTTGTGTCTTGAGTTGTGTCTTTTGTATATTCAAAAATATTTTATTATTTTAGTTCTGATTTCATGCAAATTTATTTAGATTTTATTGGTTGTATTCAATAAAAGAATTAATTATAAAGTGATGATACTTTCTATTCCTTTACTTATCCTTAACCCTCAAAGGGTCAGTCGTTATTACGGCAACGTTGCAGGCTTTCTGTTTCGTTCGATTTAATCGCGTACTATCGAATGATCCCGGTAACAATACATACCAATGTATTCAGCAGATTCTGGGCTTCATATCAACCAACAAAGATGGCCGTTTTGCTCTATTTCTTTTTCCCTGTGTTTGTTTTTCTGCTTGTTTGTTTTTGTCTATGGTTGTCATAGCGACATAATTTCTGTGTCTAACCTCGTTTTTAAAGTTTAGTAAACATTTTCAAATAAATACCTACTTTATAACTATACATTTTCTTTTTCCTCATTTAATGTAGAATAAAATGTATATAACAGTTTTTTTAGTATTTTACCACATGTCTGTTTACTCAGATATAGACACAAAATTTGTGCATCTTCTGGATTTGAACCCAAATAGGAATTCAGTCTTGTAAGGTAAGGGTATTATATTATGTATTTAAAGATAGCCTATTTGATGTAGTTTAAGAAAATATATGTCTTCAGTGAAAGTTTTTGTGGATGTTTACACAAAACTCGGAAGTGCCTAAATACTGAAACATTTGGAGGTCGTCAATGTGGCACCTAGAGGGTAAGTAATCGTGCTTGATATGAACTAGACTCAGTGCAGACTCCTCGTATGTAGATTTATTTATTGTAAATAGAATTCCATCCCAAAGTTAGCTGAAGCCAGTTAAAAAAAAGTCCCTTTTTTTAGTACTAGCTTCCATACCTGTGCTTCGCAAAGGGAAGAAAACGTTTTTTTTTATGATAATAATTATGATCTTTAGATCTGCTGGAATAGTTATCAACACATAAATGTCCCAAGTATTAAAACTAAAAGTTTGTTTAACGTTAACTTACACAAGTTTAAGATTGATTGAATATGCTATAAGAATAGCTAAGTCGAATGATTTTTCCCTCCTTGGTATATTATTGTGTCCAGTTATATTTTATTGACGCATCAACAATATTTAATGATCGGTGTTTATCATTCGTAAACTAATAACATTTACCAATACGGCATTTGAACATTCATAAACGCTGCCGCTGCGGACATTAGAGAGGTGTCGGGTGATAATGATTAGAACATAATCAAATTAAAAATATTTGTAGTTAAGGGTAACGGTAACGGAAGTTATACGTAAGGTAAATATGTTGTATACTGTTGCAATTTAATTTAATAAAATTACCAATCATTGTACGTAATTTTCAAAATAGCCTAGTTTTTTTTTAGGGAGACGAGGTAAAAATGCTTTTATGCACACAGGTAGCCAACCTGTAGCATGAGACTCCTGAGCTTGTCAGACTACTCACTAAAAAGCCCCTTCTACTCTGTTGGACACAGACCTGGGATTGTTTGTGACATAACTTCAGGGGTCAACGTGTGACCTAAGCCATCAGGGCTCGCGCCGATTCTGGCATTCAATTTCTTTATGACCTAGACTGCATCACGGTCAAGCTCTAGCATCTTTGTGCGGAGAATACCCTGAACGAAATGTGACATACAGGTCCAATTGTCCTCACCCTCCGTCATCATCGGAATCGTCCACCGACAACTGCCCTACATCACAGAAAACGTACTACTATAACCCAGAATGCCAACCGCATGGTAAAAAGCATTAAGCGTTTTGAGAGAGCTTTGCCTGTCAAACCGTAGGCAGCGCCACCAGCGTTGCTATGCTATTGCATGGCAACGCTGGTGGCGCTGCCTACGGATTGACAGGCAAAGCTCTCTCAAAACGCTTAATGCTTTTTACCATGCGGTTGGCATTCTGGGTTATAGTAGTACGTTTTCTGTGCCTACATGTTGTTCAGCATCCAGGCGGGAACTTTCCCAACGCTGGCAGTGGAAAAAGGTGTGCTCCACGTCGTCGGGGAGTGCCTGGCCAGTAGATGCAATCGGGTGACACGGCTTTGCCCATCCTAAACAGGTACTACCGAAAAACCCGTGCGTGACTAGCCGTCCCTGTACGTTGGATTGAGAATACAACTTTCATGTTTTATCTATGGTGTCATCTAGCGGTGACTGACTATACGAACTGGGCCTGGGCCACACTAAAAAAACACTGGACGAATGACGATGTAAGTGTTATCTCTAGCGGTGATTAGATTAGACTAACCGTACACCACGATGTAAATATAAGTGTTATGGTGTGTGGTGTTATCATGGATAAAACATACTCTAGTATTCATTTAGCTGTGAATACATATCGATGAAAACATCAATATATTTCAATCTTTGTCTACCAAAACATTTTTTTTAAGAAAACATCGTTGCAACAAAAACATCGGTAATCTATGTTCGATGTAAAAAATTTCAAGCACCATAGAAAACCATCGATGTTTCGAAAACATCGACATTGACGTTGAGGTTTCGATTTCGAGTCGAGCCTCTCTGGTGCTCTGACTGAATGAATGAATATTTTTTTTATCCCAAAAGAAAAGGGCCGCTTCTTCAGTCCACTCCACTCCACTCAGCAGACTCAGTTCAATGAGCTCATCTCCATCTGTCATCTCCATTCACACTCCACTCCACTACACTACTATCTCTACTCTAGAAAAAGAAATATAACCTAACAAAACAACATGCGCGGAGTGTTATTATAGTGTGTTATAAATTAATTAAACCTTATTAATTTCTATTATTAGATATATAAAGCTGAAATTTTGCAAACGCAAACATGGTTAGGCACAACAACCAACTACCAAACAATTTACCTCAGTTACAAAATCTTATAAAAAGAGATCCAGTGTCTTACAAAGATGAGGTTAGTTAAAAACAAAATTATGTTATAATACTAATTTTACGATACTAATCCAAAGTTGAGTATTACAATTACTGACCATGGGTACAGTTTCTTAACTGGGCTACGCTAATATCGATTGAAACTATCGATTCGATTAGTAAACCTTCATGCGATTTTTTCACCATCAGCAAGTTTGGTTGGTTAGGTTAGGTTATGATAGCTTTATTTTATAATAGATATATATAAAAATATCGATTATTAATCAGTATTTTCAATTCGATAGTTTCAATCAATATTAGCATAGCCCAGTTAAGAAACTGTACCCCGTAAACTACCCTATACCTGTTATAATAAGGATTTGAACTCAATAATTTGTTGAAAGACAGTCTTTAAGAAAAATTGACATAGAGGTTATGTTTAATCAACAATTTACCTAAAACTGCAACATCTTGATTAACTTAGCCTGCACAAAAATATATGCTCAAATATTGATTGCTTTCCATCTGATACTTATCTGTATTGCTATGGTTATACTTTAGTTTATCCCCAGTGACAAGTACATACAAACACCTAACATTAAGTTACTTATTGCTCTTGACAATTTTTCTTTACATGACCCCTTCAACATCAACAAAATAAATATGGGTAGTTAGGCCTAGTCATAATACTTGTACAAGCAAAAATAATCTAATGTTGCGCCTGTGATCTACATAGTAGGCCTATGTGTGAAGTGAACACTAGGCTATTAGCGTTACATACATGCCAAAACACTACTCTAAACCTATGTTTCAGTTTATGCTTCAACTGCGGCACTACAAATCACTGTTACAAGTGTTTTGGCTCAATCCAAACCAAGTCAACAAGAGTCTGGACGAGTTGGTGATGTTTATTGCACAAGTCGCTCACTGTTATCCCGATGTACTATCCGACTATGCACAGGAGCTTATCAATCTGTTGAACACTCACAACACGGTTTTGGACCCTGCTATGAGAATGGTGGGTGAAAAATTGTCAACAAATAATTTATACCGGTAATTAAGTTTATAAAAGGAGCCTATTGATAGAGCTACTTTACATTAGGAACATGAATATTAATTAGGCCTACAGTACCTCTATACCAGCAGGCCTAAGTAAAAAAAACTTAGAAATCAGAAACATTTATTGCCGAAAACATTAGAAAAATGTATAGGCCATCGTCAGGTACAATTTTTAGCAAACATGAATTGCTTGTCTTAAGAAAACAACCATTATCAATAAGAAGCAGTCTTTAAATCGTCTTTAGATTTCTATCACAGAAGTTGATTGAAAAAAAAATATACAAGTAGTCTATATAAACAAATGTCAACAATACATAAAATTTTTTAACAGTTAAAAAAAGTCACAATAACAAAATAAAACTCAACAATACCTATATAGTACAAAAAAATTGTTAAAATTTCTATGGGCGGTAACAGGAGATTTAACAATAAAAACATACATTTAACATTAGACAATAAAAAGCAAACAGCACATCTGACATCAACAATAAAAAACTAATTGAACTTGTTTTCAAAGAAATCTTTAATGCTGTAAAAAGGCTTTGCTGTTAAAAGAGAATTCAACTTACATTTAAAACTTTTTAAGGGTAGACAGGTTAACTTATAAGGAAGGTGATTCAACATTTTTAAACCTTTAACTACATGGCTCTTTTGAGTTTTACCACAGAAAACGTACTACTATAACCCAGAATGCCAACCGCATGGTAAAAAGCATTAAGTGTTTTGAGAGAGCTTTGCCTGTCAATCCGTAGGCAGCGCACCCAGCGTTGCTATGCTATTGCATGGCAACGCTGGTGGCGAAGCTCTCTCAAAACGCTTAATGCTTTTTACCATGCGGTTGGCATTCTGGGTTATAGTAGTACGTTTTCTGTGGTTTTACTTAACCTAACTCTAGGAACATGGACCTTATGTTGTGCTCTGGTGTTATACTTGTGAACATCTCTGTTGAAAGTGCATTCTATTTCTTTACTATAGACACATAACATGAAAATATATAGATTTATCACAGTCATTATTTTAAGTTCAGCAAAAAGAGGTTTACAATGAGCGTTCAATTCTGAGCCTGTCATTATTCTAATAGCCTTTTTCTGCAAAATCAGTACTTCATCAATTCTTGAGCTATTACCCCATAGAATTAAACCAAAACTGATAACACTGTGAAACAACTTACTTATCCTTTGTAATTTTTGTAATTGATGTTATTGTATTTAAGAATGCTAGGCCTACAGTTTTAACTCTTCTAACTTATATTATCAATTAGATACATTAAAAATAGATGATCCACAAGCTGCATTGAAATTTGTAAATACGCCTACTGTATTTTCTGAATTGTTTTAATTAGTGAAATTTCCTTTGCAGACATTCTGCCGAGCATTGATTTTGCTGAGGAACAAAAACCTGCTGCAGCCTACAGATCTTTTATCCCTCTTCTTTCAGTTACTTCGCTGCAACGATAAAGCTCTACGGACATTTTTACAATCCCACATTGTAACGGATATTAAGAATATGAACGCAAAACATAAGAACGCTAAGCTCAACACTGTAAGTCAAATTAGTTGTGTTCATCAGTTAAGCCTTTAAGTAATGTACGTAACACTAACTCAAAGAGGGTAGCCTACATTTTAAAATATCCGATCGACAATCAACTATCGTAAATCTAGTAGCCAAGTGGTTACAGTGCTTCAAAACTGAAGGTCTCTGGTTCAAATCCGTGAGAACGAGATTGTTATTGGCCTCAGATGTCGTTTGTCATTGGGCTGTCAATATGGAATGATGCCGTCCAAGAATAAAAATAAAAAGCAAAGTCCCATTCCATGTTGGATGGTAACAAGATCAGAATTTCAACCGTTCCCTACAAAAAAAGACATTAAAAATTCTAATAGTTAAGATACACAAATGAATAGTAAAAAAACAAGTTCTGTTCGTTCAGTTGATACAGTTTGCAAGAAGTCCATTCAATTCTGTTCTAATGACGTTTTTATTTCACAGACTCTTCAAAACTTCATGTTCAGCATGTTGAAGGACAATAATCCAAAAGCTGCAAAACTCTCTTTGGTAAGTATGTAACTAGTTACCTATGTTTAAAATTTTCACAACCTTTTCCTTTTTAAAGATCCTTCCTTTTTAGCGAATTTCCCATATAGGGAATAATCTATTACCGTTGTACTCATGGTAAGACCAGGACCCGGTACCGACTTGCATTTTCATTTTGAGGTCCCTAAAGGCCAAAAACCCCATCCGTTCAAATTCACACATATATTTAGACCTTTATACATATATATGTGTGTCCGTTAGCACGATAACTCAAGCAAAAATGATCCGGTTTTGATGAAATTTGGTATAAGCGTGTAAACATACATTTATTCGAACAAGTTCGCAAACCAGTATGATCGGACCATTGGAACTGGGGTTTATGGGGTGTTTTACGGGGTAAAAATGGGTTTCCCCATTTTCGACCCTAAACACATAGCCTAAAACTTTTCAATTTCTTTCCAAACCATTTTGTAGAGCCTAAGAAAAGAAACAGTTTAGTACATTGAAGTGCCAACGGTTAGACAGAGAAAATTTAAAAAAGTGTAAATTTAGGCCTATTATTCATTCTGATGGCCCCTGGACTACGAATAATGACTATATAGGCTTACCTGCGTCAGTAGTCCAAAATTGTGTCTTATTTCAACTAATGTTGTTCAAAGCATTAGTTAAGTTGAAATAAGACACAATTTTGGACTACTGACGGAGGTAAGCCTATATAGTAAATTTATAATTCCCATGTTCTTATGGAGAAAATGAAAACTGTTGTAAACTAACTTGTTGATGAATATATGTTAATAAAATTTGACAAGTTTATTTATTTCTTCCTATGGTATTAAAGTTTGGTGAAAAACACTTTTTATCTTCCCCTTAGCAATTTTTTTGGGGTAAAAATACGCTCAGTTTCCCAGTTATCTCAGTTGGTAATATCTGAAAATACCAGGAATTAATTATAACACAATTTTCCCAGGAATATCTCAGTTGGTAATAACTAAAAAAATACCAGGAATGAATTATATTACAGTTTCTCACATTTGATAAGTATCAACGCATGTTAAAATATTTGTAATGTTCTGTTCTATCTTAGTATTTTTACATTTGTTTAAAATATTATCATTACCATCCCTGAGTCAAACCACAATTCAAATATTACTGTCTTGATTACTAAAAAACTTTAAATGTTGTGTGTTTAAGGACATCATGGTAGAACTGTACAAGAAAAACATTTGGAACGATGTGAAGACCGTCAATGTTATCGCCACAGCTTGTTTTTCCAAAGTTACAAAGGTGAGCGAAAATTTGTTTGCCTTTATGATGTGAAGTTAAGGAAATGGACCCAAGTTTCTCTACTTGTTAATCACATTTATGTTATAGATTGTAGAAATCACAGAATGTAACAAATTAATTCTAGAATGTTGATGGATAGTATATTTTATAGATTGTAGGGATCCATTATTGTTAGAATACGTATAGATTTTCATCTTTAGAGCAATCTCTTATATCTCCAATCCTAAGACCCTCCGATTAACTCCTCCAAACTGACTCCTCCAATTAACTATTGTTCCAGTTTGCTACAAGTCTTAAACAATCGCCACTGATGGTTTTATCAATTTTTTAGGTTCTGGTAACAGCACTGAAGTTCTTCCTCAGTTCCGATGAACGCAAAGAAGACGACTCAGACAGTGATTCAGATGTAAGTAAAGAAAAATTCTGGGCTGGTGTAGCACAGCTCAAATTTCTATAAACATAGTGTGAAAGCTTCTTTTTGAAAAAGGTAAACAAAACAGAATTCTTAACCCTTAAAATGTTTATATTTAACTAGAACATGAAAATTTAAGTAGGCTTATCCAGTCACTGGAAAAATATTAGTTTTTTATCACGCATTATCGAATTTAGCGTTGACTTTTCATCGATACATGATAAAACAACTGACTTATTTGGAAAGTAGGGCCTAGTTTGTCGTTGTAGTAATTTTCTTAGGGTTTCTGGTTTGCATATTTATTTAAGGAAGACTTGCCTATATCAATTAGTGATGGGCGATACGGACGCGTATCGCGATACAGCGATACGATGCGTATCGGAAAAAAATATTGTATCGCCGTATTGAATCGGGCGTCTGTATCGCGATACGCGAATCGTATCGTCAAAAATATCGAAAAACAATACGTATTGTATCGTTTCCTCCCTCCCCTACCTAACCTAGAAACGGAAAATTTATACAGTCCAACCTCAGTATAACGAATCTGAAGGGACCGAACTGAATATTTGTTATATCAAGGATTTCGTTAAAACGAGGTTCGTTATATAGAGGTTAGTTTTGCAGGAATTTCGCTAAGTCGAGGTTCAGAACCAGCGTCGGTCAATATAGGTCGGGATTTGACCTAATTAAAACACAATTAAAGTAGCATAGGCTACAATACTTTACAGTGCAGTGTTCATTGTACAGTAGAACCTTCTGTATCCAATAGTCAATGGTAGAACCTAAATTATCCGGCATAATAAAGGTGAGGGATCTTGAATATTGCGCAATCATGACAATGGCATTGACCTTGGTACAGGTTAAAAGCTGTAAGTTTAAAATCACAGCTTGTTCTAAACCCTCCTAAAACCTAGCCAAACACTGTATTGCGTAGTCATAAACCATGTAAAGAACAAAACAAAACAGTAGAAAGTTTTGTAAGCTACTCTTCGCGATAGGCCAGTAGGCTACTTACAGTACAGTACTGATTTATCACAACAGAGGAATGTCAATAATAATCACCAACTATAGCATTGGTGTTGCTAGTTGTAACAAATCGTATTGAAAACAATAAATTGTTAGATAAGTCATTATAAAAGTGTATAATCATAGCCAACTTAAGGATAATAAAAACACTCGTAAAAGGAATGTTAAAATAACGATGTTGCTATTCTTTCTCTTTGGTTTTGTTTTTATATTCTTTCTTAGGTTTCTCTTTATCCAAAAATTGTACAATTCACCATAGTTATCCCATATCGCCCAATCACAGCTTACTAAACATTACGTCGTTATCATAGTGAATGAAATCAGTTCTCAGTTGCAACATAGCGCGCGCAGCGACAGCAGACAAAGACGTAAAACGGAGCAGACGAATGTTAGCGCAAGCGATGACGTGACCTTTCCATTTAATTTGATAAAGAAACAGATTTTCCCAAAACAATAATTGGGTGGGGGATTTGTTATATCGAGGGAAAGACGTAGACAATTCGTTATGCAGAGGTTAAATTCGCAATGTAGAGGTTCTGACAATGATAAATTCGTTATATTGAGGTGTCTTATTTTAGCCGAAATCACGAAAAATTCGTTATATCAAGGTCTTTGTTATGGTTTGTTCGTTATGTAGAGGTAAAATATATATTGTGTCTTATGGAGAGTTCTAGGGGATTAAAAAAAAAATTCGTTATATCAAGGAATTCGTTATATCGAGGTTCGTTATATCAAGGTTAGACTGTATAAGTACCTGGGGACCAAGCTTTGCTCGGGGAAAATCATTAGTTTACTCTGAAAACAGTCTTAGTATTGCAGACATTAACATTAATCCATTTCCACACTCCACACTGCTCGCCTTTTCTACTTCCGTGTTACAAGTTCACTACTCCCTACGTCTTGGACCTGTTTGCCTATCCTTCCCATAGCATTTTAGGATTGCAGATACATTAATGTAATTGCCACAGACAGTTCCCTCCCACCACGGCCGCCTACACTCTTGCACTGCTAGTGCTAGATAGCACGCTAGCGGAAATGGTCTGGACTGGGATGGGACTGGTACATTATCAAGTAAAAACCAAAAATACAGACGTCAAAAACTCCTATTTCAAACTACACATCCACAGAGTACAGATTTTGCAGTTTGCTCAGCCTGCGCAAAAAAAGCTTAAAAATATCGTTTTGACATGAATCGTATCGCTCTATGTGCCGATATAAATACAAATATCGTTTTAGGCGATACGATACGTATCGTTTTTCAAATATCGTATCAAAATATCATATTGTCCCTCGCGTATCGCGATATTCCGATACGATACGATACGTAGCGCACATCACTAATATCAATTTTCTGACTAAATTATTTAGAAAAAGTATCTTTTTGATACTTTTTCTCTTTTTTTTCTCTTTTTTTTTTACTTTTTCTCGAGTTTGATTGTGTAGATTATTTTCAAATTCTTAGGCTACAGTAAGTTTTACCATAAGGAATAACAAAAAAGTTCTGTTCCTGTTTATTTTTACCATGATGCAGGCCTGACAATAATACTCTTTTTTTATGATTGTTTTTAGTTAATAAAAAACTTCTTGATCATTATCAGACTTAATAGGTGAGTGATAAGAATCTCAATGGCATCCCTTATATACAGTAGTCGCAGCTAGTCTGGGCGTGTGGCCGCGCTATGGCGGGGGGTGTAGAGGGGAGTGTTTATTGCTCTTTTCCAAAAACATCTGGCCCACACGGCTCTCTGGGGTTGTTCAGCGCCTCAGCGCTGTCTTCATGGCTTTGAGGTGGGGGACGGTTAGTACACAAGGGTCCGCGCGCCCAGACTAACTGCGACTACTGTACTATTGGCTACTGGAAGTCGGAAATACCGATCAAGAAGTGTTTAAGTTAATAATGTGTATTTAATACTGAACAACATTTTAGGACGAACCAAACGCAAAGGAAGTAATGATGGCGAATAAAGTCAACAAGAAGACAAGAAAAAGAGAAAAACAGTTGAAAAAAGTCAAACAATTGGTACAGGTGAGTGGTTTTTCTCTCTGCTTTTAGAAGATTTCTTATCCATAGAAATTAGAATAGTAGTTTACGCAACGATCGCATAACAGGATAGTCTTAACGACACGAGTAGAAAATTTAAGGTACAAGCCTTGGTGAGTGCCTTTAAAACTTCTACGAGTGCCGATGAGGCTAATTACACAAGTTTCGTACACTACTTTACAATGGTTTCTTAGTTGTTAAAAATCACTAACTTACTCATAATTTCTAAGAGAGATTATGTTTTCGTTTATAACCTCTCATAGCCACTCATTGTGATGCAACGACTTACTGTCCTAACCACTTTTGTTCAATTCACCATTGTTTTAATCAACAACTTACTGTCCTAACCACTTGTTGTTCAATTCACCATTGTTTAATCAATTAAATTGGTCTTAACAGCTGATAAGTTGATGTCAAAAATATTACAATTCTACTCATTTTTCTTTCAATCCTTGAACCTGGTTCGTTACTCATGTTGTAAAGTGATATGAAATAAAATGAAATGAAATACGTTTATTTATCCCAATTTCATTACAGAAATATAAATAAAAAAAAAAGCAAGATTAACTAGTACAACATTATTGTCAGATGAATCTGCCATACTTATGGATAGTCCAACATGGGCAGGTGCGTAGGCCTGGTTGTTATCAGTATACGTAATTTTAAGAGCAAAAAAACTGAATATGGGAAATTTTTTTTAGCCTTAATTATTTGAAAGAAAACTTAAACACGGTTATGAGAATGTCGGCGACAACAACCAAAGCCAGTTCAATAATAAGAAGACATTTAGAGGGTGAGGGGGTCGAAGGGTCAAGGATTCTTAGTTAGAGTCAAGTATGGTAGTAAAACAACAATGCTGTTAAGTAAGTAAAAATGCTGTTAAGTGAATCTTTTCAATTCTAAGAACTGAACTGAAACAGCTAGTTTAAAAAACGGTCAAAGGTAATAGCTTATTTTGTAACCAACCCATTGCTGTATAATAAATTATACAATAAATACTTATTTTATACTCAAATACCATCTTCACTTCATCTCTAAGTCTTTCTCTCTTTCTACTACTCTCTTAGCTTCAATTCAGTTTTCCTTTGAATCCTTTTTCCTGCATAGGTACTTCTCAATTGTCCAATCTACCTTAGTATTGATTTTTCCTCCCTCCCCCTCATAATATCACAATATGAGTGAGTTTATTGTTTCAGTTTTTTTATAAAAATCATAGTTAACTAATAAAGTCTTAGGTTATCTGTTGTCTGTCAAAACCATCGGTTGTAATATTTAATTAACTACGGTTGTTTTGTGCTGTCGGAAAATGAACACATTATCAGGTTAGGATGTCTTGCTAATAATCTTTTATGGTGGAGTGCGTCAGAAGATTTACTTTACAGAACACTATGACAGATACATTACAGACATCAGGTTACCTAACTAAACCTTTATTAGTAAAATCATGATCCAGAGACCATTCAACATGAAATTGAAAATTATAATTTTTTCTAAACCATGTTTCAGAAATCCAAAAAGAAGAAGTCTGCTGCACCAGTTTACAATTTTTCTGCGTTACAGCTAATCCATGATCCTCAAGGTAAATATGCATACTAATAAATATTTTGGAGAAAGGCTCTAATTTTAACATGTAATTGGTAAGTTTATAAACCAGAGTTTGAGCTGTTCCCTAAAAAAATTATAAACAAACACAAAACACACCATTAAACAGTCTGTGTAAATTTATTGTTATTAAAAAACACCCTTCATACAAAGTTTGATGAGTCGGTGGCTCAGTCGGTAGCGTCATAGACTTCTGGCCTAAGGCAGCAATGTTGTGGGTTCCGATCCTGGTCCATGCCACTGCTTTTTATCAGTACAGTTCACCCTTGTACTGTACCAGCTCACGCCTTGGATTGCTGGATCCATTCCACATACAGGTCTGTCTGTAGCCTATGTAATCAGGAAAATGCAAGGTAAAGAGACCGCCAACATCTTAAAAAAATGTAGGTAATTTAACATTTTAATTTTGAATTTTTCAGGAATGGCAGAAAAACTGTTCAAACAACTAGAAACGTCCCACGAGAGGTTTGAAGTGCGACTGATGACTTTGGACGCTGTCTCTCGACTGATCGGCCTCCATCAACTGATTCTACTGAACTTCTACCCTTACATACAGCGATTCCTCCAACCACATCAGAAGGGTAAAGTTCATTTACTGTAATGTACAAGTAACTAAAAAAAATACATAGTTGTTGAAACAGTAGGTTTGGATACCCTCTTAGATACTTTTGAATAACACCATGTTAGATTGGTGTATATTTTCATAAAAGTGTGAGTGAAAGATTATGTAGAAGAGTTAGATAACTTGTGTGGCATTATTACTGACTGACACTAGCTTTTTAGTTATGACAATATAAATGTACAGTAATGATAAGCAACTGCTGCGTCCAGTGTTGAGAAATTAAAAAGCTAGACATCCTGCAGAGTTTTTCTAGGTTTAGATTATAGCATTAAAATGATAATAGTGTACACAAAACAAACAAAAATGTTAGTTGCTAGCAGTACACTATCGCCGAATGTTCGGCCAAATGTTTTGCCAAAATTTTTACTCGATTTGCGACAACGAATGCTGCTGAACTTTAACCACGAGCTCACCCATGTCTGCCGAACATGCTTGCTGGTGTTAGAGGTATTTTAACTTCCGGCACTCGCCTTTGCTCGTCTCCTTTGACTCGTTCAAAAATCCGACAAAAAATGGAGCACAAATCATGGCAATGCGAACTATCCCGAGCGTACACGAGCAGACCGGGTACACGCTTGCCATAGCTTGCCTATATTCGGCGATAGTGTACTGCTAGCATAAGAGATAAAGAGACCACCTTGGAAGATTCAAAAAGTGGAACAGGCTCTTTGAACTTTGTTGGTTTTTTTATTTGGAGGGTAATCAGTTTTACATTTTACTTAATCATTGTAAGGTTAGTAGGCCTGAAACTGAGTGCACTTATATTATTCAAGAGAGATGGAGAGAGTTCTCTTCTCTAGTTAGGTTTGGGTTTCTAAATCATCTTGTATCTTCTGGAGGCACTCACCGAAGATTACAATGGTAACGTCATGATCTGCCACTGTAACCTTTTCAGATAGAAGTTTTAGCAATGGTCCAGTTCTATCATCCCACACTCATTACAAAGGCTAAGGAGGTCTAAGTGAAGCTATATCCCATTTCATCAATTTCCTATTTCTAAATATCATTTTCACTCTTTTATCCTTTCATGGAAAAGCAAGTTTTTACTTCAAATTTATATTTATATGTTTATAAATTAATATGTTGTTTTGTTTGTTTTCCAGAGGTGACGAAGTTGCTGGTGTACGCGGCTCAGGCGTGTCATGATTTGGTTCCTCCAGATGTAAGTGTATTTAACCAATAATAGACAGTAATGTAGCTTGCAGGGGCGGACTGGGTACTCTATTAGGGCGTAAACCTTGACCAGCCCGAAGGCGCCAACCGGGGGGTCTGGGGGGTATGGAATACCATTTTTGACATTTTGGCATATTTTGGAATACCATGCCAGACATTTTTTAAAAATTATACCTGTAAACTCGCATTTTTAGGCAATCTAGAGGCATTAACAGTGGAAAATTAGAAATCTGATAACTGACACTATTGGTTAATGTTTGGTTTACAAAATTTAGACTATTTACCCACACGACTTGGTGCTATTCTGACAGTAAATTTCCTAACAAAAATCAAAATACAAATGATTTTCTTAGGTTCTTTCGTATTATATTTGTGTATTTTCTTTGTTTTCCCTTGCATGGCTTGGCTGCATGCATACAATATAAATCATTTGCTTCCTGTTTACAGCATGAACCTGCAACTGTTGTATTTTTTGGCACTGTAAATAACAGAAGTTACCTATATATTTTAGACTTCTATGAAATTATTTTAACACAAACAATATGCTTTCACTGTGAACAAAACCAATTTATTGACTTAAACTTTTTAGCATTACATTAAGTCAAAACTGTAACCCTAAAGTAGGCCTAAACTTACCTAACCTATTTCTACAAACGAAATAGCCTAGAGAGAACTAAGAAGGTATTTTAGGCTGGCTATCTGTAAGTAAAATAGGAAAGTTGCCAAAATTAGTGCCATAGTGCATATTGAAATAGTTAATTAATAGGCTGTAGCCACATATTAAAATACTGTTTACTGTTTAACCTTTACTGTGTAATGGTTAAGTTAACAAATAAATACACTGTCACTAAATCTATTTAAATTTTGTAAAAGTAGTGATTCTACAATACTGCTTTCGTTCATGTGTCCTGTGTAGGTAAAGAATATAAAAATAAATTGAATCTTTCGACACAGAGACACAAATCAGACACTCACTAAAGAGAGTCACATTTTAATTGGCACTGGCAGCTCACACTCTTTATTTATTTATTACATGCACGGCAAACGCCATTTTACAAGAGAGTTGAGTTGATATTGATAAAATTAAATGTGACTTAAAGTGAAATAGTTATAGTGTGAGCAATAATTAAATATTATAACAAATATGAATAATATTAAATTATCTTCACTAGTTGTTTACCACAGACGACATCGTGACACCGACCGATGTCGGATGTAGTCGCAGTCACGAATACTAGAAAAATACCGGTATGGATCACAAACATAAACAAATGACGTTGTTAGCCCGAATCCTATACTGAGCATTGAACATATGATTTGGCAGTTCCATTTAAGCAATGTTAAATAATGTTTATTTTCGGGCCAAAAACGTAATTTGTTTATGTTTATGATCCATACCGGCATTTTTCTAGTACTCGTGGTCGCAGTGCAGTTTTTTTCGGGATCGGCGTAAAATGACGCGGGAAGAGGACAGCTGTTTGCTCAGACCACAGAGTAAAGTAAGTGCCTTCCACTCGGAGTAGGCCTACACGTACGAGAGAGAAGAGCTGCTTTGCTCTCGCTTGCCGACAGTGTCTATTCAGGTCTCACACCCGACTTTATGTTTTGCTATTCACTGCTGAAACTTTTACTCTAAGTTTTTCCTCTAGCTTTCTAAAAAATACATCTCGTCTCATTTTTTAAAAAAATTTTATGATTTTTTCCTTTAACGAGGGCGCAAATATTGCCGGCGGGCCAGTCCGCCCCTGGTAGCTTGTGGAACCTATTCATACTTTTAATATTCAACCACACTATTTTAACTCTTTTTCAACAACATAAAAACCTAGGCTAAGAGACTAATAAGTTACTTTGTACTTTGTAGTTAGTAAGTGTACTTTGTTTTGTATCTTGCTGTAAAAAGAGATTCTATCAGCCATTGTTGGTAAAAAGCAGAACTAAACAGAATCACTTTGGTTTAGTAATATTTTTCAGTTTATTAGCTGTGCAGTAGAAGAAAATTGTATTGATATGTTAACAAAGTCAATTTGTGCAAATGTAAATTTTGAGTTCTTTTTGTTGCCTTTTTGTTTTTTGATACTTCACCATATTGCTCTATGGCTACTAAAGTCTCCTCATGTGGACAATGAAGCGCACACGTTCTTAACTACCACTATCACCTAATCTAATCACTCAAGATTAAAACTTTCTACCTCCTCATCAGATCATTTTTTCTTCACTCTCTATAACCTAAATTGCATCTAGAGAGCAGGTGATGATCCCTGAATAACCTAAAGTGAATAACCTGAAAGTAGGAAAAGTGTTTACACAAATCCCATCAAACTACCCACCTTATCTATCTTTTCACACTTTAAACGGTTTTTTTTTCCATTTCAGGTGCTAGAACCAGTTTTGAGGACACTAGTGAACAACTTTGTCAGTGAGAGAAACTCCTCTGATGTCATGGCAATTGGGTAACAACAAAAATAATTATATTTTGGTGTAATCTCGCATCACTCAAACATATAAGAGATCAATTTTCCTTGACTTCATCTAGTTATTCCTAATACTTACTCCTCATAGGGTAGACGACTCAGTGACTATGTCGCCTTCTTCCTTGTCAAGAATATCAATCTTCACTCATATTGAGGTCGTCAAAACTAATTGAGGTACTGTGGGCAGTCTGCTCGCCAACCGAGCAATGCCCACCTGTAGCCACAGTAGGGGTCAAATATTAATTTTGTATGCCTTGTCTAAATGTAAGTGTATGCGTGTTTAATGTTTTGACGACCTCAGTATGAGTGAAGATTGATATTCCTGGCAAGGATCCAAAGAAGGGGATATAGTTGCCGAATGATCGTCACCTAGACTCTAAGGAGTAGGTATTAGGAATCGCTAGACGAAATTACAGAATTTTTACTTCTCTTCTAAATTGTATGTTATTGTGTTTTTCCTCACATTACATTTCCTCACATTTCTATATCCATCCCACAATTTAAACTGTTGGTAATGAAGATATAAATTCACAGGCTGAACGCAGTCCGAGAAATGTGTTCTCGTAACCCGTTAGTGATGACGGAAGACCTGTTAGGAGACTTGGCGCAGTACAAGAACTACCGAGAGCGCAGTGTCATGATGGCGGCTCGGTCTCTCATACACTTGTACAGGCACACAGCGCCTACACTGCTACACAAGCGAGACAGGGTAAAAAGTGTTTACAACTATAAACAGTGAAACCTGAATAACTCTCTTTAGTGAGGATTTTACATCTAGAATCTTTTTAATATTGTAATCATAAAAAAATATTCTGACTCAAACTCAACTGTTGACCTTCTGATAGAGTACTCTACCCACTAGCGATTTCATAATTTGTATTTGGACTAGTGATTTAAACTAAAGCCTTAATGAGTGTTTTATTTTTAAGGCCCAAAAGACAATATTTCTTTTTTGAGTTTTTCATTTCTTGTTGCAGGGAAAACCTACAGAAGCGTCTGTTGAGCTGAAACTGAAGAACTTTGGAGAAATGGACGTCCCTGAGGCGGTACCAGGAGCTGAAGTCTTGCTGGATAAAAATGAGGTGAGAAACTAAAAGAGAAAGTAACAGCATCAATTTTTGGATACTGAAGTGGACACCCTAACAGTATGGAGCAGCTGTCAAACATTTTTTATTAAAAAAACACACAGTTGAGTAGTCAGGCCCAGAGTGTGTTATTAGTTGTCCTATGAGTTTGACTTGGTTAAAACGTCCGCATGTTTGGACAGAAATTGGTAATTTATTTCAGCAGGTCGTTGGCTCACTTCAACGTACATTTGATTAAAAAACTGGCGACAACTTTAACATGTTGATGGAATGTCTAGTTTTATCATCCATCAATAGTCAAAGGTAACAGTTTCAGTAAAAGTTATATCATAGACTAAATTTACTCCCTTAGAAATTTGTTATCCTTTTGGATCAGCTGACAATTATATTTCAGTCCCAATGTAGTGAACTATATTGATTTTGATGTTCTGAACACTATTTGAAAGTTGAAACAACTGACAATCCTTTCAAACTAGTCCAGTTTATCTACTCAAAATAAAATTAGTAAACCACAAACTATTTGATGCTGTTCAGTGGTAATATTTTACTGCAAAACCACTAAATAATAAATAAATATGTTTTTAGAGTACAAGTAAAACTGATGAGGCAGACTCTGACAGCGAAGATGGAAGTTGGATCGACGTATCTCACTCAGAAGATGAACAAGAGTCTGAAGGGGAAGGAGAAGGGGATAATGATGAAGAGAAAAATGAAGAAGAGGAAAATGAAGAAGAGGAAGGTGAAGATGAAGATGGAGATGGAAGTTCAGAGGAAGAAGAAAAAGATAAATCAGATAAAAAAGTAAAAAAAGGAAAATCTGAAAAGGTAGTTTTCACAATTCATCTAAATAGTATAGACTTTTCGACACAAAGTATTGTTTGAAAGAGATTTTTGTGAAGATTTACAGTTAAGATGAACATTAAATTAACTTTTAAATCTGCAGTAAATATGTTGTAGGCTTGGATTTGTTAGAAAGAAAATTTATAATTTTGGTTTTTGCTTTGTAAGTTTGGGGTGGAACAGATTCCTAAATAAACCTTAGCATGTAATGAATTGGCGAAGCGAACTTATGCTTGTATTGGCAGTTTAGGTTAGCCTATGTTTAAGATGAAATTAATTTTACCATTGTAATAACTATTTTTTACGTAATTTTTAAATTTGTATAAATTTTACCAAGATCGAGAAAGTAGACGCCAAAGAAGTTGTGGCAATGAAGAAGAAACAAGCAGCCGAAGTCAGCGTAATGCGGATCTTGACTGATGATGACTTTAAAGAAATCGACGCAGCTTTGATCAGGAAACAAATCGAAGCCCCTAAAAAAGGCATCAAGCGAAAACTGGAAGAGGACGATTCAAAAGCCAAGTAAGAACCAATATAGGTTAAATGATATATGTTTCTATGAGCAATTTCCATTAATATTCTGTTCCTACAATTTTTCTCAGTAGATAAGTCCAATGATCTGACGAACCTGTAAATACGACCCTATGTAACCCCCTATGTATACGACCCTATGTACCCCCTATCCTATGTAACCCCCTATGTATACAACCCTATGTACCCCTACCTATGTAACCCCCTATGTAAACGACCCTATGTACCCCTACCCATGTAACCCCCTATGTATACGACCCTATGTACCCCCTACCCTATGTAACCCCATATCTATACGATCCTATGTACCCCTACCCATGTAACCCCCTATGTATACGACCCTATGTAACCCCATATCTATACGACCCTATGTACCCCTACCCATGTAACCCCCTATGTACCCCCTACCCTATGTAACCCCATATCTATACGACCCTATGTACCCCCTACCCTATGTAACCCTATATCTATACGACCCTATGTACCCCCACCCTATGTAACCCCCTATGTATAAGACCCTATGTACCTCCTACCTATGTAACCCCCTATGTATACGACCCTATGTACCCCCTACCCTATGTAACCCCATATCTATACGACCCTATGTACCCCCTACCCTATGTAACCCCTATGTACCCTCTACCCTATGTAACCCCATATGTACACGACCCTTTGCTAACTAATGCTTATCCACTGGTATCAATAAAAAAAACTTACATTTTTAAACTTTCCCAAAAAATAATAAACATTTACATTTATCATCAGGATACTCAAGTATTTCTAGACATAAACCAAACATCAATGTTTTTACAGTAGATGACAAGTCTCCATGCAATACTCAAAGTCAATTCTTCAACTGAGGTTTGATACAGAATGTGCTGGGTGTAAAGTAGGTCAAATTGTTCACTAGAACTGGCTTACCTTCTGCTGCATCGTGCATTCTTAGCACAATGAGAGGTGTTGTATGACTGAAGCTTTGCAGTGATAATTTCACAGTTGGTAGGATAGCTAATAGATGGGGTGAAAAAAATCAATTGCCAGTGTGAAGAAAGAGTTTTACATCTTTCACATATTACTGTACAACTAAACGAATAACAACACCAATAAACAATACAAATTCAAATAAACAAATACCACTTAGTTCTACAACAAAGAAGTAAGATAAGAGGAAACATTCAATGGTACACGTCGTGTCTAGCACTAGTCGCATGTGTCTAGAAAAAAAATAACTGAATATACAGTGAGAATTATCAAGTGTTTGATAACTCTTTCTTTGTACAGTAGAACCTCTTTAATCCGAACTAATTGGGACCGGGGGTAGTTCGGACTATTGCATAGTTCGGATTACAGAACATGTTGTTGTTTTTACATAGGCTAACAATAGCTAGGTAAAAGTGAAAAATGCTTTTTAAATACAGTGTTTATTTAATACAGTAGTAAACATAGGGAAAAAACAGTACTGTACATTACAATTGAAATAATTACGGTGTGTATATCAATAAATACAGTATACAATAAAGAACTACTGTACTGTGTATAGAGTACAGCAATGAGGCGTTCGGATTAGTGGACGTTCGGATTACAGGGGTTCAGATTAAAGAGGTTCTACTGTACTCATGCCTTGTAAAATATTTGCATTTCTTGTTACTTGATGCAGTAGTATCTTGTTGAATTTATGTTATAAAAATAACATTTTTTTCAGGAAAGAACTAGTTTCATTGGCAGACATTGAAAATATCTACAAAAAGAGGAAACACGACAAGCAAGCAAGAATTGACTGTGTTAAGGTGAGTTGAGAAATAAACCTTGACAAAATTACTTGTTCAATGCTTTATACCTCAAAGGCTGATGTTTCGGTGAAGATTAACCAGTTCATCATAATAATAGTTGCAGTAAATAAATCATAATGTCAAGTGCCATTTAACTTTTTTTTTATCAGGTTTAGGACTTAAGTTTTTATAAAATTAGGGCAAAAATTCAATGAAGTTTAAAGGCTAACGTTACTAACGTTATTACTAACGTTTTTTTTACGTTAAGTAGTAAGTTACAGATGAGAAATTCAATGATGCACTTAAGTGGTGTCCAGTACTAGTCACTGGTGGTGTCTAGGGCTAAGTCCAACACCGCTCCCCTCGCCCTCATGTACTACAACACTCATGGTGGAGGAAGACCCTGTGTGATTGGAATTCCGACACAGTGCCCACTGTTGGGGATCTTCCTCGCTTGTCACAAGTATATTTCACAACATACTAGAGCTGAAAGCACACAGTCGTCTCCGTGTCATAAGCAAATTTCCTCTGTACCTTACTTCGTGTTATTTGCAACTTTTAGGTGAACATCTGCCGTAGTAACCAATGTTGCCTCAATTATTGTAAATCAGAGGATAACTAAAGAAAAGTTTGGATCACCATAGTGATACTTAAGGGAAATGTTCCCCACCCAGCAATCCCAGACCAGAGAAAGTTTCACAGGGATTGAGGACTCGATTTCTGGGAAAATTCATAGATAACACCTTAAAACACAGTAGATTATGTATAACCTTCGGTAAAAGTACAGAAATAGAAGAATGAAGAAAAGTGTTGACTAGAGAAAATATTACTTAAAAATTGAAAATGGTGTTTGTCTATTAGGCATGGTTCAATCAAATCAAATCAAATCAAAAATCACTTTATTCACCTTTATAAATACAGGAATACATTATTAGGGTAAGAATAGTATTCCCCCGAATGGACTGCAAGTCCGTGCTCGAGGAAAGAGCTCTTACCAGCAGGAAATAGGTTTTGGTTATTGTCCATAGGTCAAAAACATGTGCACACTGTTTATAAATAATGTGTACATCTGTACTTAACACGTATCAGGAGCTCTTAATAAATATATATATATATGCTATATAAATATATTGTATACTAGAATTAGTTAACAATAAACAGCCTTAAGCAACAATAAAAATATTAATCTATGAAGAAAAATTTATTTTGATAGCTATTATGGCGGCGTTTGATGTTGAGATTAATTTAAATGTAAGGCGAGCGAATTAAAGCCTCTGCAGCCTCTCGTCCCACAGTCATCAGCCACTCACAGACCTTGCTTTTATACACAGCGACACTGCTTGATTCAGCATCAGTTATGTTGGGCGGCAAGTTGCGATAAAGGATGTGAGCTATGTAAAACACGTTATTTTTCAACGAACTATATGCTAGTTGTGGAGTGCGGTATCCAAAGTTATGCCTGTGTCTAGTGTGATAACTGTGTTGTAAGTTAGAAAAAATAATTTCCTTGTTGTTCTTAATGAAAAGTAATAGTGTTTTGATAAACAATTGTCTAATATTTAAAACTGGGAATTCGGAAAAAAGTAAATTTGTTGAATAATGTTTCGGCCTTTTAAGAATAATTTTGATTAAGGTTTTCTGGGTTACGTGAAGAGGAGCCAATGTGGCAGCAGATACACCGCCCCACGCCAGTATGCCATACTGCAGCACAGACTGCACGTATGCATAGTAAACGTATCTGCAGTGATCAACCGTTAACACACGGCTTAGTTGATAAAAGGCGTAGACCAGTTTCCTCAATCTTTGCTTTACATAGATAATATGAAGAGACCATGTCATCCTTTGATCAATGATCACCCCAAGGTACTTGTATTGGTCCACACGATCGACTGTGTCACATCCGCAGGTATTAGACCACAGATCGCCACATGAGTGAAGATAGAGTTTTCTAAGGCTAGGGTCACGAGTTCGAGATAAAACTATTATAAAGTGGTGTATCCTATGATGAATTTGTTCAAGTGTTTTCATTAATAAAAATGTTGGTAATAACACTTTTTTGTCTTTCAGAAAGGACAAGAAGGGAGAGAAAAGTTTGGTTACAAAGATGGCAGACTAAACCCTTTCTCCAGCAAAACCAACAGAGAGAAAAAGAAGAATAAGAATTTCATGATGATAAAACACAAAGTCAGGGGAAAGACAAAGCGATCTTTCAAAGACAAACAGGTAAGAACTTGAATTTCTCTTTTAAAGTTAATTTTGACTTAACTTTAGGCTACAGTTGAACTTTTCTTGGAAATTTTTGTATTAATTTTATCTTTTGTTGCAGATTGCCCTGAGAAACTACCTTATCAAACAAAAGAAAATGAGATAATAGGTGAAAATGAGCTACTGAATGTGTATATTTGTAAAATAAACATTTAGTAAAAAAAAGTGCATTATGATTTTACTCTTTTGATAATATGTAATTGTATTGCTGGAATTTATGAGGGAATTTCGAAAAAAACATTTTTTTAATGATTCAAAGAGAAATTCTCACCCTTTGACATACCTACCTAGTATGTCATGGGCATCTCACGGTACCATTAACCCACTACACTTAAGTCATTCGTTGAATGGCACCTGCGAGCGCTACTGTGACATTCGGTCTTTAGCAATGGTGATTTAGATGCTCTGGAGTGTAACTCTGAAGTTTATCCGGCCAGCAGTTGACATGTTTTGCGCTATGGGCTCCCGGAGATAATCACACCCCCCCCCCTTTCTTATGGAGGAATACTCTTCCTTGGGCGGTGCGCTCCCGTCAAACCTTGAAACCCTGGGCCCATTTACTAAAGTGGCTCTGAAGTTCGCTCAACATGCACGAGTTTGATTTGCAATCATGTACAACCTGATAAAGCTAAGTAACATGTGGCTAAGCCAATGGGACGGCTCAACTTAAGTAAAAGGTGTTCCGCTTGGGTGGAAGTTGAGGTTAACACAAAACCTGATTTGCTTCTTTTTACTTTAGTATAGAAAAGTATGAAACACATTATTTCTTATGGATTTATTTTGGTTAAGTATATCGTGTGTTAATACAGATAAAATCGACGACCTATTAAAACTACATTGATTAAGAAATCTTAAGCAAATATAGTTCCAAAAGTGTTAGACATTATGTTTGGAAAGTATTTTTGCGTAGTTGGCAGCATTTGTCTTTTAAGCATTGTCTGTTATTAAGAGTTCTTCACCCCAGCAAAAACAATAAAAACATACCTTGAACCGGATGGAATGTGTTAAGATATAATGTTAAAACATTTTTTCCTTACAGATTAATGTTCGTTCTAGAGCCCTCATACATGATATATCCAAGAAAATCAATAGTAGTAAGTACAGAAAAATCTTAAATGTAATGTAAATTGGGTCACTTTTAAACCCTAATGAAACTAATTATTTTTCATTAAAATTTTTTTGAGGTATAAGAGCTCTAATATAACTAACTACATTGATACCACTTTTAAAAAAATCGGTTGAAAAATATGTGCGAAACGAGGGACGAAATTAACATGTTTTGTCGGAGGATGCTGCGCTACTAGCCTTTTACAGAACTTGGCTCAGGCGGCAGATGAATCACCGACGTATCGATTTAGTAGTCGTGTGTTTACGAGTGTCAATTTAGTAGTCGTTTGGTTACGATGTTTTCAGAATGGCACCGAGCTACCCGTCATCAACACCTTCCCTTCCAGGGCCGTATTCCCAAAACACAACTACACCGAGGCTGATGAAGACTCTTAAGAAACAGTTGACATCACCTCCACTAGTATTCAGATAGATTTGTACAGGAAGTAAAACATGTTTAGCATTGTGAATTGTTAACCAAAGAAGAAGTCTTCATTAAAAGGATTTTGTCACAAAAAGTGATGGCTTAAGAAGTTCTCATGTTCAGCCAATTGCCTGGTTTTAATTTATTTCAATTTCTTTTTTTATTTAGCGTATTTTGTTATATACGTATAATTTAAATAATGATAGAAGAGAGATTAATTATAAATATTTATTTTGGACAGTATGGAACATTTATATTAAAGGTTTTAGATAATGGAAGGTTTTATAAATATTGCTGTGATAACTATGACACGGTTTTTGTATCCATTGACTCTTTATGGTAACTGATCCTTAAATATAAAATCAGCGCTCTAAAGGTATTCAAGACTTTAAAATTACCTAAATAGATTACGGGTATATAAAAAGTAAACTTTTTATTTTAAGTATTAGAAAGAGGTAAATGAATTAAAGATAGAGTAGAAACACACATTCTTCCATGTTAAAAACAGGTTAACATATTAATCTGACGATGTACAATCTATTTATCTTTATACCCTGAAAAGGAGCAACACAATTCCATTTAAAATAAACAATGCCTTCAAATAAAGTATAAAAAATTTCAGGATTAGTGACTTTGAATTAATTAAAGGAAAGGTGAGGAAGCAGATGTGATGTATTCTCAGCAAAATTACAGTAAAAGCATCGCATCACAGAGTGATTATATTCATCAATGTAGGGCGCCTTCAAAAACATCAATGCAAAATCGATGCATCATTCGAATTGCTTGTGAGCGTTTGAAGGCGCTGTTAAAACGTTCGTACGGTTTTTATTACAGTAAATGTAATACATTACAGATCGTACCCTGTAGTTGTAAAGAAAATTGTTGTTTACTACAGGGTGTCCGATAAATAAACAGCTAAACTCCGGGAAACTGTTTTATGGGTGAAAATAAAACGAAAACTAGGAATAAATTTTTTTAACCTTAGTGAAATATTTTCCTTTTTGTTCTTTCGTGTTGAAAATCTTATCTCTAAAACTATTTAAGATGTCTTTATAAAATTTGGTGAATGATTTAAAATGGCAATAACAAATTAACAAAATAAAATCCATAATGAAATTGTTTGGTTTCAAAATGGTGGTCGTACTAGACAGTATTTTATTGCCTAATATTCGTGGATGTCTGCTTAAATCTACATGAGTCGCTATCGGTTAATCGAATCTTAAGACTAAGAAAGAATCTGAACTTTAAGCCACACACAACCGCAACCGCATACTTGAATGAAAGGTCTTGATGCGAAACTTCCCAGTAAATATCAGCTTTTCAATAAACCCTCTCATAAAGACAGAAACCTCAATTAAAGGGCTATATTTAATCACATATACCAAAGATTACAATCTTTGCATATACCTACGACTGTATTTTAAAGTAGCCGTTTCAGTGTATTCTTCATTGAAAAGTAACAACATCATTTACATTCATAACAGCATAGTTTTACTCATAACAACGCGGGTAACGGACCAATGAGGTTACGGTTACATGATTGAGTGAGAAGGAGTAAAATTGTAATTATTTCGAACTTCAACTAATCAGCTGTCCAGACCAATTTAATTGTTGAGTGGTGCAATCAGTGTTTGATACAATGTTCGTTAGCGTTGCATCTTTGTTTTTTTTGTTTTTTTTAACTTTATTTTATTTTACAATCTGTTCAGTACAACTGTGAACAATTAGTAAAAGGCGTAATATAAGTAAATGGCTTGACCAAGAATCTCCCCAGTGAAAGATCTTGGAAAAATAAATAGTCATATCATGTAACTAAAACTATGCAAATCGGTATGGGAGTTCAAGAACTTCACAATTTTTAGTCTGTTGGGAAATTCACTATTGTCCAGCAAGTTAACGGCTAAATTGTTCTGGTGGGTTTCGAGTTTTTCTTGATATTTCTTGCTAATTCTCGTTATTTCGTCAATCACTGTAGGTATTTTTAAATCTTCATGGATTGTTTGATTCGAGACAAACCACGGAGCATCAATTATTCTTCGCATCGCCTTTGACTGAAATCTTTGAATAATTGCTAAGTTGGATTTGCTTGCCGTTCCCCAGATCTGTATCCCGTACGTCCAAATAGGTTTGATCATATCTTTGTAAAGTGTGAGTTTATTGGTCAACGAAAGCTTTGATTTTTTGCCTAGAAGCCTGTTGAGTTTACGAACCTTCAAGTTTATTTGTTGTCTTTTACACCAAATATGTGTTTTCCAGGTTAATCTTTTATCCATGTGGAATCCTAAATACTTAACGCTTTCCACTTCTGTCAACGCTATGTTGTTCAAAGTAACTGGCAGTTTTCTTGTCTCGGCGTGAATGTAATATGTAAAGATTTTGTTTCATTAACTTTAGTTTTTTTTAGCCACAGTTCGAAATCATTTGATGTAACTTGCAAGGCAATGGGAGGTTATAAACGAAAACATGACCTCTCTTGAAGGAGTAGTAAGTTTTAGTAATTAAAACACTGTCATAGGTAAAGTAGTGTACGCAACTCGCGTAAATAGTGTTGACGACACTCGTAGACGTTTTTAAGGCACTCGCCAAAAGGCTCCTGCCTTAAATTTTATACTCGTGTTGTTAACACTATCTTTACTCAATCGTTGCGTGAACAACTATTACAATTAATACAACAGCTGTTAGATTTGTTTTGTTTTGGTTAGTTTATGTGTGCATTTCCTTGAGTTAACCTTTTTATTCTACCATAGATTTCTATAAAGAGAAGTGTTTCATTGCGTGTTAGAGAAGTAAGTTAGTTGTTCTTATAATGTGGGCAAATGTTGTATAAATAATTAAGTGACACAAGAACCATAGAGTTTGAACGGAGCCTTATGTTTTCCAACTGGGGAAAACCACATCTGCAGACTTTTCCCTTGTGACTTGGACAATCAAATTAATTTACATCAAGAGCAAGCGCTTAATGAACAAGCAGTTTGCATTGGACGAGGCAGGTGAAGAATCACCATCTCTGCGTTTTCCTCCCGTGGCGAGGCACGGCAGAACAACTTTATTTCAGTAGTTATTATAACGTCTTTTTGTTAAATGTGTCGCGTTCAAAGTGTGCTTTGTGTTCAATTTTGCTTCGACGAATCGAATCGTGAAGAGGATAAACCTGAAAATGTAGCAGTCACCACGAAACATGTTTTAACCAGACATCCAAGGATATCGTAAGGTAACAAAATACTTTCTATTAGGCTAATTTTATAAAACAATGTTATGACCACTATAATTTAGAATTTGATAGGTAAATGTCATTTAATAAGAAAATAAATAAACATTTGCTATTTTAATGGTACTCCAGCCCCATCTTCAAATTCTCTAAGTGTCCTCCACTTCTTTCTTGTCCTCCTTAGACACATGCTGCTGGCCCTTAATGTCGCATAGATGGTTTTTACCTTTATCCAGTTCATCTTTAAACTGTAAGGTTCCTTCAATTTTTCTGTTAGTCATTAGGCGTTCTGATTTAACATTTGATATTTCCTATCAAACTACACCAAGCTCAAAAAGATCGAATAACAAATAACTGAAAGCTGTAGAATCGAAATTTTAAAATCTAAAATGAGACGCATCAGACAAGCTTATCCTCATTTTATCCACAAAAAATCGCGAATTGGTTAAAAATA